GCCCCTTGGTCCTAAGCATTAGTAAACCACGGCCCTTGTTTCTATGCATTAGTAAACCCTCTGTGTGAGCCTAAGCATTAGTAAACCACGCCCCTTGGTCCTAAGCATTAGTAAACCACGGCCCTTGTTCGTATGCATTAGTAAACCCTCTGCGTGAGCCTAAGCATTAGTAAACCACTCCCCCTGGTCCTAAGCATTAGTAAACCACGCACCTTGGTCCTAAGCATTAGTAAACCACGCCCCCTGGTCCTAAGCATTAGTAAACCATGCCCCCTGGTCCTAAGCATTAGTAAACCACTCCCCCTGGTCCTAAGCATTAGTAAACCACGCCCCCTGGTCCTAAGCATTAGTAAACCATGCCCCTTGGTCCTAAGCATTAGTAAACCACGCCCCCTGGTTCTAAGCATTAGTAAACCATGCCTCTTGGTCCTAAGCATTAGTAAACCACGCCCCTTGGTTCTATGCATTAGTAAACCCTCTGCGTGAGCCTAAGCATCAGTAAACCACGCCCCCTGGTCCTAAGCATTAGTAAACCATGCCCCCTGGTCCTAAGCATTAGTAAACCACGGCCCTTGTTCTTACGCATTAGTAAACCCTCTGCGTGAGCCTAAGCATTAGTAAACCACGCCCCTTGGTCCTAAGCATTAGTAAACCACGCCCCTTGGTCCTAAGCATTAGTAAACCACGCCCCTTGGTCCTAAGCATTAGTAAACCACGGCCCTTGTTCTTATGCATTAGTAAACCCTCTGCGTGAGCCTAAGCATCAGTAAACCACACCCCTTGGTTCTAAGCATTAGTAAACCACGCCCCCTGGTCCTAAGCATTAGTAAACCACGCCCCTTGGTCCTAAGCATTAGTAAACCACGGCCCTTGTTCTTATGCATTAGTAAACCCTCTGTGTGAGCCTAAGCATCAGTAAACCACACCCCTTGGTCCTAAGCGTAAGTAAACCACGCCCCCTGGTCCTAAGCATCAGTAAACCACACCCCTTGGTCCTAAGCGTAAGTAAACCACGCCCCCTGGTCCTAAGCATCAGTAGACCACGCCCCTTGGTCCTAAGCGTAAGTAAACCACGCCCCTTGGTTCTATGCATTAGTAAACCCTCTGCGTGAGCCTAAGCATCAGTAGACCACACCCCTTGGTCCAAAGCGTTAGTGAGCCACTTTTTGTTGGATGTTTAATATATACTGACAACATACCACACAGAAACAATGCTGTCAGGTAAATCGATGACTATTTTTAAATAAAAACTTATATTGTCATGAATGTTCTTCTGCTTAAGCAGTTAATTTACCTTAAAATGGTCTGTTGTGCAAAAAAAAGTGAACTAAGTGGCTAACTAATTTTTGGATGATTATCTCAGGGCAACGGTGGAATGCCAGGAGAAACAGGAGATCGTGGGAGCCCTGGGTCCCCAGGGTGGAAGGTATTCATCATCATTTTCCCGTCCATTGCCCTAGCATAGCTGTGCTTATATTGGCGACATATGTAAGGTCATTATACTGGTATTGATCTTTGAAATGAGTGTTGTTCAGCTATTTCTAAATTTTCTTTATTGGTAATCAGGGAGCAAGTGGAATAACTGGACGGAGTCAAAGATCTGTATGTATGACATTCTGACCTGTACTTAATTCAGCTTATGGACTTGATGCATGAATATCATTGCTAATTTGTTTTTTTTTTCTTAAAGACATGTGACATAGTCACCTATATTCAAGACAACTGTGGTGAGCTATTACTTTGTATGATTCCCGGCTGGATTAGACAGGAAATGGCCAACAGGAAGGCTGGGGAGGAGGTTGTCACTTAAGTAGTCATCCAACAAAAATTAAATCATGAAACTGAGAGCAGGATTTTAAGGCATTGTAAGTCAGATTTTAAGAAAAGAAAGTGTAAATATTTTAGAGATGTAAGTCATGATGCGGGATGTAAAAACAACTAACTGATTTTGTAACATTTCTCTTTTCCAAACAGCCTGCTCCCATTGTGAGTTCCTTTTCTGTACTTTTGCTTTTTAATAATGCTCACTTTACACTTGAATATAGTTTTTTCTTTGTCACACAGTTTGGACAGTTTCCTGGAAAAACCTTTTCTCTCCTGTGCAACACCAGGTCGACTGTCCTGTCCCCCCTACCCAACCGAGCTGGTGATTGCCCTGGACATGTCACAAGACGTGACGAATGTGGACTTCCGGCGAATGAACGAGACAGTCGCGGCACTGCTGGATGGAGTGGACATCGCGGAGAGCAACTGCCCCATGGGAGCCCGGGTGGCCATAGTCTCCTACAACACCAACACCAAGTACCATGTGCGGTTTTCAGACTATCACAGCAGGCGAAGACTTTTGAACGCCATCTGGAACATTCCATACGTGAGGTCGTCCAATGTCCGGAACACTGGGGCAGCCATGAGATTTGTGGCCCGCAATGTTTTTAAGCGCACTCGCCAGGCCACTCTGATGAGGAAGGTGGCGGTCTTCATCACCGGCGGCACGTCCCAGGACACAGTGGCCCTCAACACTGGTGTTCTGGAGCTCAGGGCCATGGACATCAGCACTGCTGTTGTGGCCCTAAAGCCGGTCCCAGAAATCAGACGTGCTTTTGAGGTAAAGTCAGGCCTCTCTTTCCTACGGAGCCTGTGTAGGAAATTGTGCAAAAAAAACTATAACTTACTTTTGAGCTATGCGAAAGTTGCGCACACGCAAATGTATCTTGTGCGAATGAGAAAGTAAGAGCATTTTATTTTTTTTTGCACAGGTCCCTTCAGGGGCTCCGTACTTTCCACCTCCTTTTGTTACAACATAATTTTATTGGCCTTTTCTGAATTGCTCTCCCATACCTGTCTCACCACTGTGTATTATATAGCACTTTTTTGTTTGCCATTCATTTCTTGATAGATTCCTTGTAATTTCCTTGATTCAAACACACTAGGCAGTTTAACAGGGCTTTGCGGCATACAACAGAATCTATAAGGAGATTTTGATATTATACCTCTAACTTTGGGTGGTCAGGCCTGAGGGTTTTTGCATGTTCTGCTGCAGGTGGATGACAGTGGCACTTTTATGCTCACTGTCTTGGAAAAGAACCTGGAGGTCAAGCGACAGCTAGAGACAATCAAGAATTGCACCATCTGTTTGGGTAAGCAACTGGGCACAGCTACAGTGCTACCCTGTCAGTCACCATGACGCCCGCATCTTTCATTGTTACTCTTATCATTATTCTACAAATGGGTGCATTTCATTTTATTCAGAGTGACCTACAGTTATTCCCAATTTTCAGCTGGACGTTGAAGCACTTCAGGTTCTTTAGCAGGGACTCCTCCCTCTGTGGGTGTTTCTCAACACCAAGAATCCATATATCATACTTGAGATCTTGGCATGAGCGGTCTTGCTAACTTGCCTCCCAAGCCCCCTTGAACTTGGGATGCAATGAATCGTGGGACTTATCTCATTTGGCAAGGATGCAACTAATGTATCCTCGGTATTTTGGGCGAGGCAAGAACAACATCTGGGGATTTTTACCATCCTCTGTACTTCATTTCTTAGTATTGGAACTGATCTTTTGTAAAATGACGTAAAATAGGTATATGAGAACACAAGTATGGTCAAGTATGCATATTGAGAAACATCCAATGTCTTAAATCACCATGCTAGCAGCTGAGCTCATCCTTAGGAGAACAGAAACATAAACTGGGCTGTTCCTTCTTTTAGATCCATGCAGACCAGGCAGCGAGTGCAGAGTGAGGAACACGGCGCCCATAGACAATATGGACATGGATCTAGCCTTGCTGATGGACAGCTCCAGTAGTGTGCAGTCCAACCAGTACCATGGAGTCCAGCAACTCCTGGGCTGGGTCGTGGACCAGATAGTCATCAGCAACCAGACCCGGAGGCCTGACCGGGCAGCCAGAGTTGCGTTAGTCCAACAAGGCATCTCCAGTCACCTCCATGTGGGTGAGAATCCAGTTCATGTTGAGTTTGACTTCACGCATCATTCCTCTGATATGAAGAGGTACATCACCCAGATGAAGCAGGTGGGAGGCCGTGGTGCTCTGGGTCACGCCGTAGAGTGGATCACCCAAAACCTTCTACTGTCAAACCCTCGAAAGAACAAGGTGATCATAGCCGTCGTTGGAAAGGATGGCAGCTACTTGGACCAGGAAAAGTTGGAAATGGTCTCCATGCAGGCCAAGTGCCAGAACTGGGTCCTGCTCACGCTCACTGTGGGCATGGAGTTTAACTGCACGCAGGTAGAAGAACTGGCCAGTGAGCCCATAGAACAGCACATCATCCACCTGGGCCAGGTGAAGGCGGCAGAGCTACAGTACGCCCAGCGTTTCCTCAGGACCTTCTTCCAAATCCTAAAAAGTAGGTTTGCCTCTAGCCTCTCCTTTGACAATCCCTAATGTAGTCGTATCATCTGTTTATACATCCAGCAATAGAGAGGCATCCCAGGCCTGTGTTTGTTTGGATTGGTGGAGTCCACAACTGCCCTAAATCCACTTTCTCAAACTTTCAACCTTCGCATTATGCCTTTTCTGTTTATTCTGCACATCTTGCATTTCTCATTCGGAATGGGTCACACATACATAAACACAGATGGTGTGGCTCACTTATGTAATTATTTACTCAGCTCTCAGCTGCTTATAGCTATGTATATGAATCTGTGTGGGTGTATGAGAGTGTTTATATGTGTGTGCAATTCCTATAGGTACTTGATTGTGCCTCTGAGTCTGGGTCTGTGTCTGTCTGTGAATCTATGTAGATAAGTATATACTTCTGCTTCTGCAAGTAAATGTTTGCCTGCATGCTGAAGGATGAGACTATCTGCGTGTGCATATGTTTGCCCAAACATGACAGCTTGTCCTCTCCTACTCTTCTAAGGGGGCTTCAACAAATACCCATATCCCCGTCTTCAGCAGACCTGCAGAAGACTAAGACCCACAGCAGCAATATCAGAAGCTGCCTGGGGTCCACCAGTTCAGAGGTACACCCTCCCATCTTCTCCATCAGCAACTGTATGTTTTGAGTTAAGGAAAAAACATGGCATACTTAACAATAAATCTGTAGTTTTCAGCATATATGGTGGCTCACATGTGGTGTCCTCAGCATCTGCAGTGGCGCATGCTGGGTATTAAGAAGCTCACCATATTATCTTCCTGTGCCCCCAGTTTTGTTGTGCCAAGCTTAATTGAAGAAGAGCTGGTCGGACAGGAGCTAGCAGTGGAAGTTTATGCAGATGAGAGACACACCAACGATGACGGCACCAAGGCTGAGGTGGTGGAAGAGGCAGCGGAGACTGAGCATGAAGCAACCACCGGGCTCTCTGGTACTGTATCACGCCTACTACAAGCAGACGCCGTTAATGATCTATCCCGGGCAGCTTTTACAATAATTTTAGTTACGCTCACAAACATTTACACACCTCTACTTGTTTCCACTATTGAAAGTGGTGTGTAGGACCTCACCTTAGATCATGGAACAATGTGGCTACACTGTGGTCAATGTCCTAATGTCCTATTAATGTCCTAACACAAGTGTCTGCAACAGCACCACGAATCCCCCAATGTACTAAACACATGCATCATACAAAAACTCATAATAACTTCTAAAGAATTCTTTGTAACTTTGCTTGGTTAACGCTTGATTGGCCTACGAACTTACAGCCTAACCCCGCATGACATGGCTGATGTTAGTGGTTTTCTGCCACTTGCTTGTCTCTGCAGCTTTTATAGAGCCTCCTTGCTCTCCTTGCCTGGCTTGGCTCCTGTTCCGCTGAGATTTAAGACAACATGTTGTACTTTCAGCTCAGTGTCTATGGGACATGGACAGCAATTCCCATTGCAGGGACTACCAGTGAATGTGGTACTTTAGGAAAGAGATCACTGCATGCAAGACCTTCTGCTAAGACGGCTGTGGCGGTAACGAGAATCTGTTTTTAACTGAAAATGAATGCCTACACACAAGTGGCTTGTACAGTATGCCAGTCTTCAACCTGTAGCTACTGAACAAGCAAAATTGTTCACACAAGCCAACATTCACAACCAAAATATGCCCATCTCTTATGACTGATATGATTCTCACGGCCAGTAGAACAATCAATATTTGGACTTTTGGATCATCCTGTAGAAGCTTCAACAAAAAGTGTACAAGCTAAAGAAAATTTAAGGGAAGAAATAAAATAAAATACAATAAAATAAAATAGCTTAGGCCAGAATGAACCCAATTTTAAGTTATAAGTGCAAATGGAGTATCTGCCCCTTGAACCATGTTGACAGACACTGTCGGTGTAACCAACAGACAGTTGGAAACATTCTTCAGTGATGGAAATTTGTTTAAGGGAAAAAAATAAGTAAACTTGAATGGGAAAGAAGAAGAACTTTTTTGTGAAGTTACATTCTGGTATGTGAGTTCAGGTATGGATGATAATCTAACAAATTGTCCTTTCTGTCCCGGTAGTCGCTTGCTCTCTGCCCATGGAGACTGGTGGCTGTCAGAATTACACTCTGAAGTGGTACTTCGACTCTTCAAAGAAAGAGTGCTCTCGATTCTGGTTTGGAGGCTGCGATGGCAACGATAACAAGTTTGAGAGCTGGGAGAAGTGCGAGGCCACTTGCATGAAGAAATAGTTCTTGGGGACTTCGCTTCATCTGAGAACCCATTCATGTTTGCTCCTGTCCAAAGCTCAACCCTGCACTGCAGAGCTGTCCCATGGCAACACGGGATGCTTCTCTTTTATACATTCTCATTATCTGTCAGTTCCAAAGAGTCACACTTATGTCGCCTTAAAAAAAGACACATTCGCTGTCAAAAGCCTGCGCTGTGGTCAAGAGTGGACAAGCCAGAATAAAGATAAGAGAGCAGGAATTATGGATGCCCAACCTATGTCAATATGAACTGCAATAGGTTTTCAGCTATTGAAAGCAACCTTGTAGCTTACTTTACAAGAACACAAATCTGACTGTATTTACCTTGCATAATCCATATATTCCATCAATATTTTTCCCAATACTTGACTGAACTTGGAATTTGTAACAGGAAATATTCATCTGCTTTCATTGTCCAATTTGGATTCCAGTGTTTTGCTTCCAGGTTAATGATATTCCAGTGCTGTGCTTCCAGGTTAATGATATTCCAGTGCTGTGCTTCCAGGCTAATGATAAAAGCAGTGCTTTCAGGAACATTCTTACTTTCTAAATTCTGTCCAACTCATACAGTAAATAGAAAACAGCAGAACTCATCAGATGTGTCACATCAGCACAACAGATTATACTGTATAAGTGTGTGGTTATCTTCCCACGCCCTGGCCAGAGACAGTCTGTTTGTAAATTACTGATAGATGTTAGCAAATAAAATCAACTATCTCACAATCCCTGTTTCAGAGTTTCCCACAGTCCAGACACCAGTACCTTTGTGCTGATTAGAATCAGGGATGTATTTATTGAAAATATAAACTCCTCAGATTCTTCGGTGTGAGCTGAGATCTTTTTCTGTGCTGGGTTGCTTGCTGTTAAACATGGATACCTTTTACGATGGTGCTAGTGTCAGATGACTTACAAAGACTGACCTCAAGAAGATTTGATGGCTGTTTTCATTAAATACTCAAAGAAAACAAAGCTAATCTCATTTTACCTGAAATGTGTGTTGTTTGTTTTTACATGCATGTCAAACACAAGACCACATTCTCTCACTCCTGTATAACCAACCTTTTCCTTAATTTGTTCAAATCCAGATCTCTGTGGAACTCAAACAGTATGTCCTATCAATCACATTTAAATATTGCTTTTAAATCATTGTTAAAATGTGGTATTGAGTTTTATAAAAATGCACACATATTTGAGGGTTTCATACCTGACAGTAACATAGTCTTTTTCAGTTCATTTTTGATCAGCGACAGCCTAAGATCCTCCACATTTCTTTATTTTTGTGGCGTGCAGGGGGTGAATGTGAAAGACCTCACCCTCACTCCATAAACATACCACACCCTGCGTACCTCACATTCTTTGGAGATCAAATGAAGGCGATGGTCATGCTTCACAACATCACATACTCACTTATGTCCTGAGACTGTATGTGACACATTAAAGTGCAAAAGAAACAGTACTTTGTGTCACATTCTATATCATTTCTATCCTGCTTTTCATGGAAGCGCTGGCAAAACCAGTGTAATTTTTCTAAATACACTGGAGCTAATTCAGATCCAGTACTAAAGGAACAGTTTTCACTAAAAATGCCATGGGCAAGTACAAGTAATCCAACAGCAATATACCCCAATAAGCAGTATTACATATTGCTCTGTTGGCTGAGATTTAACAGGGGTCTTTAAAATCCAGCTGCTTCTGCACATCGTATCCTTACCAAATTCAGTCTGTGATTCACTGAACATTGGCTTGATTGGGAAATTCAGCTTGTTCCTTTCACTGGTCGTCCTCTTAGGAATTCAGTAATATAACCAATACTGCATGTCTAGCTCATGGATATAATCCGGAGGCTCTGCCGTGGGGGTTAAACCTTGCCTCCTCCCACCCCCCCAAGTACAACCACCATCAAAGACCAACCTAACAACATCCTCAGCAAGCACAATCTTACTGCAAAGGTTACTAGGATCAGTACACAGTCCTCTAGTGCTCATGGCTCTAGTAGTCATGGCTACCTCTAATGAGCGCACGCACAGGATAGAACATTACTGACCATCCTTGTGCGTTCCTAATTACTGAAGTAGGACCTTCTCCCACTTCTGACACAAGCATGGAAACCCCAACAGCTTATGACAAGCCTCCCAGTATCCCAGACTAAAGGCAGCAACCTTAACCATATAACCTGTATGGGCCCACAATCAGGCTAATATATCACCACAAAATATCAAGAATATATCCAGGCCCAGCTACAGCTCAAAAGGTGACAGTGAAGCACAGGGCGTTTTGGAAGGGACGGGGGATGTTTGAGTGTAAAAATAATATCTGTAATTCATTGACATTTCCCAGTGCTGGAGGTGGGCTAACCCTGCCTTCCCCCTTGTGGAAATGCAGTAGAAAAGGCTTAAAATGGTTTAATACTGTTACAACCCATCTAGGGATGGTTATATTATCAAGTCAGAAAGACATCTTCATCCTTCTCATTTCCCAGCTGCCAAACTAAGACTCACCACAGGCAACAAAAAGTATTTTAAAAATGACAGGGCAGTTTGGTCAGCTGGTGTTCGGGAGTTTGACAGCCCAGTATTTCAGATGGTGTAACACTACAGAAGTGGATTTAAATTTAATTCCTACTGGCTTGGTTGATATGTACTGTAGTCACCCCCACGTCTTAGCAGGTGTCATGTCCTGCAGAAATGGAGTCAATGGCAGGAGTTGGGGAAAACAATTGGCGCTTTATTTGAACATACACAGAGGTTTAGAGACAAAACAAACCGCGAGGGGCCAGAAACCAGTGGAACCAGAACAGAGGAGGACTCGGAAATACACACGGTTCTGACATCATAACATTAATGACAGGACTAGGGAGCATAGGATCGGGAAGCACTTTTATACAAGACTAACAAGGGAGCAGAACAACAGGCAGCTGAAGTGAATCACAGAAAGGCAGGAACAAGAGGTAAGACTCATATAAAACAGGCATGGCTCGTCAGGACCACGTTGGGGAAGGAAACAGGAGGACTGGCTGGCCAAGGCGTGACAGCAGGTGTTTATTTTTACATTGAATTTGTGCTTCACAGAGACACTCACATGAGGCACCAACTCATCGATGGCGCTTTGTCTTCACAAAGCTTTGCTGATTATTTGGAATTCAAAAGCATTACACTGGTCTGGATGATAGACATCCAGAGCACACATTACATGAGGGCAGGACTAGTTGAACTAAGGGGATACAGATCTTTTTTCAGACTAATTCCTCATGAATTCCTTTTTCTGACACCTTATTTAAACTCCATACACTCAAACACAGACCAAGGGCAGAATGCAAAGCCCAAACCTCGAAGGTTTGTAGCATAGTGTTAACCATGTGCCAATTCCATATTCCTTCTTCAGTGAATTTAAATATTCAATAAAAAAATCTAATTTGTTTGTTCATTTGTTTATACTAAATGTACCATAAGGTCTCTAAATAGCATCAATTCCGAGGGGTAGTGTATGGTTCAAAGGACTAAGCCTCTGTACCTGAGATTAGAAAGTCAGTGGTTTTAATCCAGCCTCAGCTGAACAGCCTTGTCTTAACCCCCAGCTCCATGGGTGCTGTTGCATGGGGCTGTCCTTCACTGCCAAGCTTGTTCTCACCTACATATACAGTTGTGTTCAAAATAATAGCAGTCCAACATCACTAAACTCATCAATCACTGTTTTTGGTAACAAATTATATTTCTACATGGAAAATTATTTACTAGTAGGTGTAGTACAGTAATGGAAAACCAACAGACTCAACAGTCATGACATGCATGCTGCTGATTTTGTGTAATTGAATCATTAATCGAAAGGGGAGTGTTCAAAATAATAGCAGTGTGAAGTTCAATTAGTGAGGTCATTTGTTCTGTGAAAAACCAGGTGCCAATTATGGGCCTTATTTAAGTAAGGAAGGCAGCGAATGTAGTACATGCTGGTCTCTCTGAAATTCTGAGTAAAATGGGTTGTTCCAGACATTGTTCAGAAGAACAGCGTACCTTGATTAAAAAGTTGATTGGAGAGGGGAAAACATATAAAGAAGTCCAGAAAACGATAGGCTGCTCAGCTAAAATCATTGCAAATGCTTTAAAATGACAACCAAAACCTTAAAGATGTGGAAGAAAACGAAAAACTACCATTCGAATGGATTGAAGAATAGCCAAAATGGCAAAGCCAATGATCATCTCCAGGAAGATCAAAGAAGGACTAAAGTTACCTGTGAGTTCTGTTACAATCAGATGACGCCTATGTGAAGCCAAGCTATCGGCAAGAAGCCCCTGCAAAATCCCTTTGTTGAGAAAAAGACATGCTGAAGGGATTATAATTTGCCAAAGAACACATTGACTGGCCTAAAGAGAAAAGGCACAACAATTTGTCGGCTAATGAAAGCAAGATTGTTCTTTTTGGGTCTAGTGGTCACAGACAGTTTGTCAAATGACCCCCAAACACTAAATTCAAGCCACAGTACACTGTGAAGACAGTGAAGCATGGTGGCGCAAGCATCATGATATGAGGATGTTTTTCATACTATGGTGTCGGGCCTATTTATCACAAACCAGGGATCATGGATCAGTTTGAATACCTCAAAATACTTGAAGAGGTCATGTCGCCTTATGCTGAAGAGGAAATGCCTTTGAAATTGGTGTTTCAACAAGATAACGACCCCAAACACACCAGTAAACGAGCAACATTTTGGTTCCAGACCAACAACATTGACGTTATGGAATGGCCAGCCCAATCCACGGACCTTAATCCAATAGAAAACTTGTGGGGTGACATCAAAAATGCTGTTTCTGAGGCAAAACCAAGAAATGCCGAACAACTGTAGAATGTAGTCCAATCATCCTGGGCTGGAATACCTGTTCACAGGTGCGAGAAGTGTCCCTACAACACAGATGTGCAGCAGTTCTGAGAAGCAGTGGTTATACAACTAAAGATTAGTTCAATGATTCAAAGGAAAGCAAAATCTTAAAACATTTTTCAGTTCATACGGTGAATCTTTGAGTTTGTAAAGAAGAATGTGGACCTAATATTCCCTTCCCTTCCCTTTCTGTAAAAGAATAACACAAATGTGATGAATTTCTCTTCTTGTTTTGATTTGGAGTAGAATTTGTATGTACATTTGCATGTATGGAAATAAAAACTATTATACGGATTTTCAGCTTTATTCACTTTTTTAGACACACTGCTATTGTTCTGAACACAACTGTATGTCTGTGTGTCGTGGGGAGCAAGATGGGATAAGCAGAAAGAGAACTTCCCCACTGGGATCAATAAAGCATGATTATTTCATCAAAGTTACTTTTGATTTTATGGTTCTTTAGCCACAGTGGTGCTGTGGTGTTATTGTGTATTTCCCCAAATCATCTTCTTCTTATGGATTATATTATAGAGGCTCTGATCCTCACTGAGAATCTGAAATGGAGGACACTTTAGACACATTTTATTCCTCAAGCTTATACACAAATATTAAGAGGAAAAGTCTGTGCAGAAGTTCAAGCTCAGAAGTTAGAAATAATTGAACCTGGAGCAGAATGAAGTATCGTTTAAGCATCACTTAATTCTTTAACTCGCGCAAGTTCATATAAATTATAAACTTTTCACCATTATTTCTGAATTGAAATCATAAAGATCTATTAATAAACCTTTGAGTAGCTTCTTCTTCTAAACAGATGACTGTCACTAAATGGTCTAAATGACTTTGAGCCAAGTTATAATTCATCTTATCCCTGTGTGTTTACAGTTCTCTGATGGAGTCTTGATTACACTAACCAGTCTGTCTTCTGGACACTGTTCAGGTTTCTAGTTAACCATCATATGTTTCATACTGTATAACCATAACAAATGTCTGGAGCTGAGCAGCATGCAGCTGGGTAGCTACAAATTGCTGTGTGTGACCACAGGCGGAGACCTGGATGCACCAAATAGCAGATCAAGATGTGTCTAATTGTGCCATGACCAGAGATGGTAATACTGGGAATTCTGGGTCAGATCTTGATCAGATTCTACACTAAGGTCTGTAAAGAATATCCATAAACAATGTAACTTTGTTCCGTAAACAAAGAACGCCTGAGAAATCCTGTCAGTATCTCTGTGCCCCACTTTTACAATGAACTGAGATTTATTAAATCACATATGAACCAAAAATCCCAGGTCAATGCAGAAGAACATCATATTTCTCCTCTCTTAGCTCCTCGATGTCCCCAGCACCAGTTCTGAGGACTGTATAAATTGCTAAAAAAGCAGCCCACTTGACTTTCAGAGAGAAGGTACCATTTCGTTATGCCTCGATTTGTTGGGATCACCAAAGCGAAATATCGTAGAAGAAAGGTGCCTAGTTTAGGCTGAGCACTGCAATACCTCACAGAGCATGGGTCATGAACCCCACTGCTGTCTTTATATCGAAGCATTTAAGGCTTGAGATGAAAGACAACAAATCGAGCTACCAGAGGAGTTAACACAAGGCCAACTTCACAGCTGGGAGACAAGACCTGTCTGCCCTTTTTAGGAAACAGAAATTTGTACAATCCGTTAGCTAGCATAAGCACAGAATGACCCTTACTGTGGACCCTGAATCATGCTGAGTGTGTTGAGATCGGCTGGGATGAGATGCAGCTGACAGATGACACAGGCCACAGTTAGAAGTCCTGATCTCCCCTGGTTTATAATGGGGCCCGTATGAGAGTAACAGAGACCCAAACTTGTGGGAAAATCTGAGAGGTCCTGGATCAACTGGAGGACAGGTTTGCTCAGCACATTGGCCTTCCATGGCAGCAGGAATCACAGAAATTTGCAAGCAAGTTGTAATAATCAAACATGAACCTTTATGTCCCTGCATAGTTCTTTGGGCACAGCAGTGGTTCCCACCCATGATCCTTAGGTCTCCACTTTGGGAGCTTCTTGTTTAAAACGGCCTAATGATAAATTTAGTCTTTGGATTTCGAATGGTTCATCAGCTATGAACATTTAAGTAATCTTCACAGGGCAACAGTTATATAAGTAATTAGGTGATTCGATAACTTATATGAGACGTTTGTGTTGCTTGAGTGTGCACTATGACAGAATGTACCCCACGAGAACCAAGCATGCACCCCGCCAAGACGAAGATCATCTTGGAAGAGAAATATGACCCCACAGCTCCTCCATACCTGTCCGGGTGAAGATGGGATTTGAGGTGCCCTCCTCTGGTCCGCTTCCCCACAGGCTGTGGTTTTTAAATGTGCAGGTACAAGAGCTGACAAAGAACGGGCTCCATGCCGACACATTGCATGTACAAGAGCAAGCTGTTCATTCCATTTGAATGATGGAAGGATCAGCTGAACACAAAATATTGAGTTACCTTCTGGAACTAAAGGAAACCTCAAGTGGTCTTTTTCGTCCTTTCTTGTCCAGATGATTGCAGAACAAGCAGACAGAGATGATCTGAACATTGCTATGGACTCTCCTCTCTGTTGGTGACAGTGGAGTCTTGTTGCCATAAACAGCCTGTTGGGTTGGTCTGTGTTTATTCTCTAGAGACCATATTACAACCCAGACAAAGTGAAGGGTATCGCAGATGGGGCAGGAGCATGAGTGAGTAGGAGGACCAATCTGCTCTGCGGCAACAGTGGAACTCAAGCTGGTGAGTGCTTTTGCTGACTCTATATTACAAGCTGATTTTTAACATTTTCTATGCTGATTTTAACCAATTGGTTCCAACTTTATGATCCAGCTACTGAGTTACTACACGGCAAATTTTTAAGCTTTGAACATTTGTATTTGCTTTGCTTATTTCCATGAGAAAGTGTTACCAACTTCTTCCATATGCTGCAATTTTACAGTTTGCAGCTGAAGAGACATAATTCAATATTCATCCATCCATTCAACTATCCATCTTCCATTTTGCTTATCTAAATCAGAGCCTAGGAAAAGTCTAGAATATTGTACTATTCTCGTGACATCCCATACTCGTGAATTATTTTAAAAATTGTCAATAAAATACTTTTTTTATATCAAAACAACAACAAACAAACAATACATTGTTCAATTAAGTACAAAGCGACCAAAAATTATAGCCTGGGGTGGGCAGTCTTATCCGCAAAGGGCCGGTGTGTATGCAGGTTTTTGGGATCAGCTGTTCTAACCCAGGTGTGAGGAGGACTCAGCCAATCAGTCCTCTAATTAGTAATATAATTAGGGAGCTGCAGTGAAAATCGGCAAACACAGCAGCCCGTTCTGGATAAGAATGCCCACCACTGGCTTAGCGTTTCACGAATGAAAGGTTATTAGTTCATTACTCTTGCATGAGATGATATGGAATTTGCATTCAATAAAATATTAAGCACTATAAAACAATACTTATCTGCTAAGCACAAATCAAACAAATTTATTTACATACAGTAGCAGAATCCTTCTTCTAGAGTGACTTAAAGCCATTTATTGACTTACCTTTCACTAAACACCTTTCATATTTTTGACTGAACTCTTTAGCAGTGACAGCCGTTAATTAGAGTCAAAAGTCAAAGTATCTTAAAAAAAAACTATATTAGTAATACTATCTTAACTGTAGTGAACTTTGTTAAAACATTAAATATTGAAAGTAAAGCATATTAAGCCGCTATGTATTAAAAAGCATGCCATGAGTTTCCTGCAGTTTAGGGAAGTCTATTGTTTTTTTAAATGTTAATAAAATATTTCATATTTCATGTACACACATATGCAATGTTGGTATGTGCATATATATATATATATATATATATATATATATATATATATATATATATGGAAAATGGATGGATGGATGGATATTTATATACATTTGAAGTGTATGTAGAATGTATTAATGCGTTTACTTGCAGTTCTGCCAGACAGAAAGATACCAAAATAGGTTTTCATAAATAGATTGCGTCGTGTCCACCTGCAGTGTCAAAATGTTTTGCGGAGGTTTCACTTCCAGACATGAGCCAGCTGCATGCTGGCTTAAGAGGTTTTCAGGAGGTAATGAAATCACAACTCTATAAACCAAGCGACTGCCTGAAGAAACACTGGCTTTCCACTCTCGCCTCAGTTTGTCTGTATCAGCATTTGGACGCACTTGCCTCACCTGAGCTAATATTGGCCATGCAGTGGAATGTAAAGGCCAGCCTCTATACTGGAGGGAGATTAGCACTGAGTACCCAGGAGTTGTATTTCAGACCATCAATACTTTGACCCCCCCTGTAAAATTTTACACCTCAACAAAGGAACACAGTTACAAATGCTGAATCACTCAGAATATCACCGGTCATTTGGTCTCTCCTCCGATCCAAATTACTAGTGCCATTCCCGATGGTTTGATTTAACAAAATCAGCATGTATTAGACTTTCAGTTATTACATCTTAATTCTTCATAAAGGTTATTCTCAAAATATGTTACCTGTCAGCATTAATATATTGCCTATTATTATTTCTGTGAAAAAATATGTCTTGTTTTGTTCATCTTTCTGAATGATATGGCTTGGCTTATCTTGAAAGTAAAAAAAAGCTTTTTCAAGTTAACTAAATTCCCCGCTGGTGTTGATGGAGATGGATGCATTTGAAATGACTTTGTTAAAATGTTGGTGCTGCATTGGACTGTTGGCCATTCTGCAACTGCCAACATGAATAAGGAGACCCAAACTCAGCACTCGTTATTGCCAGTACAGTATGTGCAAACACACCAGAATTGTTTGTGGTTCAGTGCCAAACATGAGGTACAGGACAATGTTATACGATGCACAGGAGAAACAGTTTAGAACATGCAAAACTAAAGAATTCAACAAAAATGTCAAATTTCTGTAAGACATCTTAATATAATAAATTACCACAAGAGTATCATTTGCAAAAATGACTGCACAGTGCAAGGGAAACTGTGCTGATTGCAGAACAGATCAATAACTGAATTAGTGCAGCAGTTCGTAAGTTTGATGCAAGTTTTACTGATATAGTGGAAGTAGATAATGGAGAAATGTCCAGACATGGGAAGAGGGGAATTGTCCTTGGATGAATGGATTTGGAATATTGAGATGCTAGGTGAGTTTATCAAGCAGCCGGGTGGCTACAGGAAAAAAGCCCTGGAGATGGTGAGGTCCAGGTTATAATGTACTCGCACATGCTCCAAGGTGTGGCAATTTGGTGACGAGGCAACTGCCTGAGTGGATGGAGTCTGCAGCTACCTTTCCAGCCCTTTATGGCAGTAAACGGGTCTTTGAGTTTTGATAGCTGACAGCCGGTGATATTCTCAGCTGAGCGGACCACTTGCATGCCCATCTTCCTGGGAATGGCATTCTCCTAAGCTCAAGTCAAAAATAATGAAGCGTTTTGCTGTTTGTATCCCAATAACTGTTCTTCCTTGCAGAACAGAAATACAGGTGGCAAAGGATCAAAAATGGGGCTGATTGCACTCCTCTGTTTTGGGTGTTTAATATGGATACAGCCCAGTCAAGCTCAAAACAAAGGTAAGATATGTGATAAGATTACTTTGTACGTGTGGCGGGTTTCACAGACATCAGGAGTAGTAATCTCTACCTGCAGCAGAAGGTAAATCAACTTGCTTGTCAACTGTTGCTATGGAGTCCTAGAGTAATAGATACCAAAACACGTGTATCATTCTTGCTTATGCTTTTATGTCTTATTATAAATAAAGTGAAATATAGACTAACTACCTTCATTCTGTTTTTTTTGGTTTTTTTTGCAGTTTGTAGCGGAGTGAACATGTTTGATCTTATGTTTTTTGTTCATTACTCCTCTGAGATAAACTTTCAGCCGATGAAAGACTTCCTGCAGAACTTCATTGGCTCGATTGACCCTGAGCATGACATACAAATAGGGTTAGCTTTCTTACCTTCCCAGAGAGGGGATTTCAACCTAACCAAATACAACACCAGCAATGACATCCTCAGCAAGATAAAACCACTCAGGCCTCGGCCGTCGAGGCGTTGGAACATGGGTGGCAATTTAAAGAAGTTCCTGACAGGGGCATCGCGATACTTCAGTGGGAATGTCGACGGGAGATCCGCCCAGAAAGTCCCACAAGTGGCGATCCTGCTCACTGACAACGTCGGCACCGTCAGCCTCCGCGGTTCCAGCACCGACTTGCATGTGGCCGGCGTCACAGTGTACGTGATAAACATCGGAGCCACAGACACGAAGAGCAATCTGTTCTACGTCGCTTCTTATCCCTACGAGGAGACCGTCATTAATGCTGATACTGTCCAGCATCTGTCCCAGGCTTCGCAGGACCTGCTCAAAAATGTCTGCAATCGCCTCAGCCACAAATTCAGGAAGTACTGGGAGACAAGAACGATCACTCAGAAACGTAAGATATTTCTAAGTCCAGGAGAGATGCATGCATTACACTGAGGTACGCAATAGGAAACTGTGCAGAAAAAGTTGAGCTTAAGGATGCCTAAGTCTCCAAATATATTTATGCTCTACAAAGCGATTGCTTCTCTGAATAAAGAAAGAAGTTGCCTGTTGCCCATATATAGATCAGGATAGAAATTAGACAGATAAGCAAAACACCTCAGAAGCAGACTCTTTCCCATAAAGTCTTACCATCTATGGTACTACAGTATATGGAGTTCAATACTTTATAAAACAATCAGGCCTAGTTATATATGTTTATCCTTCAAGTTCTCATTTAACAACAAGTCTTCTCTGCCTAGATACAATGCTTTCAACTTTGAACAAGCACAGGGAACGAAACTATTGCCAAAAAACTCCCAAAAATTAATGTTTCTGATCCTGTTTATTTAATTTCATAATTAGTCATACTAATTAGGGATACTTCAGTCTGAAACTTTGTGTTTCTCTTCTAGATTGCTCCAAAAACATGACAGCTGACGTTTACTTCTTGATCGACGACTCCAGCACCGTCACCTTGGAGCAATTCAATGAGATAAAGCGCTTTTTGAACAACACAGTGCAATTATTCCAGATTCGATTTGACGGAGTGCGAGCAGGAGTGGTCCAGTATGCAGCTAACCCCAGAACAGAGATTCATCTACCCGACCACACCAACAAAACAGATTTGACCTGTGCGATTTCTTACATCGAGCAACAGAAGCTTGATGCTGATATCGCAAACGGTCTTCAGAATGTGCTGAAATATTTAAAAAAATATAAAAGAGAAAACGTGCCTCAGTATCTTGTTATTCTGAAGGAGGGATACCAGAAAGCTGTGAATAAAGTGATGTTAGAAGCTGCCACACGAGAGATACATGACTTTGGAGTTGTCACATATGCCATCGGGGAAGACTCTAACACACTAGAAAAACTGGCGTCATCACTTGACAAATATTTCAGGATAAGCGACTTTGCTTTCTTAAAAGATATTGAACTTCAGGTGGCTGATGGGATTTGTGAGTCAGCAGGTAGGTTTTCCACCGAAGGCGGACCGATGTAATATATATACATGGCATGATCAGTGAAAAATATCGTCTTAACTGGTATGGATGACAATATGAATGCACATGGCAGAGCAGAAATCTCTGGAGCTAACAACCAAGGGTGCAAAATCATAACTAAATCTAGCGTGAATCCGGAAAAAGTGTGACTAGACGAGCTAACGCAAAATATCAAGAAGATGATTTTCATTGGCTGACCCTGGTCACTCCGAGACCACCATAAACACACGTAAGCCAATAATGAAATAGCTGGTCAAGTACCCTCCAATTACATATTAGCTAGTCATGTATGTTTTCCCTGATTCATGTGTACTATACAGTTTATGACTGTTACCTGTATATATTATACACTAACTGGCTTTGGAGGTACACCTCCTTATTAGTGCAATCAGCCGATATATTCATGCATCATTTAATTGTTTTCTGCTTTTTTTCTGCTTCTCAAAAGCTCTTCTTGCCAATAATTAGCTGTTTAGGTAATTTACTGTGTATTGTCAAGATTTTATTTAATAATTTGCATTATTATTATTATTATTATTATTGTTATTATCATCATCATCATCATCTGTGATGGATCCTTTCCAGAATACGGAGCAAGGGTACATTTAAAGTGTATTTTGCAAACAGTGACAAATAATTCACATGCAGTTGACTAACCGACTGTCCCGTGTTATGCACCTGAATAAATGCCAGGCTCTCTCCCTTTTCAGCATTACGCAGCAGTGAAGCAGATATCGTCTTCTTGCACGACAGCTCTTACTCAGAGAGCTTGCGGGACCATGGCCTCATGAAGGACTTCATGAAGGCATTCATGGAAAGCGTCATGAGGGAGCAGAACGGAATCCGTGTAGCTTTGATAGAATACACTGATGAATTCCAGTACGTCTTCGACTTAGAGCCCAGGCTGACGCTGGATGAATACAAAAATGCCATAGACAGCGTGAGCCGGGCACCACGGGGCCCTATGGCAGACGGGTCTCTCACAGTGCCCGGACTGTTCGACAAACTCCCTGACAAAGATAAAAAGATAATGGTTTTCATAACAGATGGAAAATCTCACAAGCAATTAGCTCAGCTGGCTTCAGATTTCCGTAGCTCTGGGATTGACGTATATGCCATTATGAACTCGGACGCAGAAATGAACAATATAGAGGGAATAACTGCATCAAAGGCAAAAATATTTGAATTGCACCAAAATGTCTCCACCTTAGTAGAGAGCATGCACACAGTAATTCAAAAGGGTAAGTGATTTTGTAAATTGAGCCTTATAATTACTGTGTATCTCAAAATGTCCATGTAGAAACTGTAATACATCAATAAATCTATTATTGGCTAAATCTACTTCACAGTCATAGTTGGCCTTCAGGATTACTATGATGTAACATGGATATTTTTTTTTTCCAGAGTGTCAGAATGCAGATGTTGCTGATATAGTTTTTGCTGTGGATGTTTCCTGGGATGTGCAAGAGGATGATTTTGAACTCATGAAGAATTTCATTATTTCAGTAGCAAGCAGCTTTCTCATAGGACAGTACAGCACGCAAGTCGGGGTCATTCTGTATGGAGCCAGTGCTCGCCAGGGTATCGGTTTGGACGAATACAAAAACCTCAAGTCACTGGAGTCGGGGCTACGGAACATGAACTTTGGTCAGGTTGACCGTAATGGAAGAAACATTGCTAAGGCAATCCAGCTATCCAGGACCTTGTTCTCTCGCGAAGGCCGAGAACATTTCAGTGTTCCCCGGTTCATCATCACTATCACTCACAAAGATACCACTGATTTGGTCCAGTTGAAAGCTATTTGTAAAGAGGTTCAAGATTCTGGGGTGCACACTCTGGCTGTTGGGATAGATTATGTGGACACTGAAACTCTTAAGATCATCGGAGAGTCAGACAGCAGTTATTTCTCAGTGAAATCTTTTGACAAGCTGAAGTATTTGTCTAGACAAGTCACCCAAGAAATCTGCAGTGCGCCATGTAAGACTTTATCATTTGTTCATTGCAGTTGAAAGAACAATTAAAATGGCTGTGCCCTGTAGGTCACCAGTTCACGTTCAAGGTGTTCGCTTTACTTTCATGTCATTGCAGATTGTAACATCGCCCTGGTGGACATCGCCTTCCTCATCGATGGATCTGAGAGCATTACGCCTAATCAATATGATCTGGAGAAAGATTTTGTTAAAAGAATAGTGAACAGCTTTGACATTCATGACCACGTAAGGGTAGGTTTAGCTACATTTAGTGAAACATGTGATATACAATTTAACATGAAAACATTCAACACCAGATTGGAATTTGACCAAGAGGTAGATGCTGCTATACCGAGATATAAAGGTACGAACCTTGCGGTTGCCCTGGATGGGTCAAGGAAATTTTTTACCCCAAACAGGAGAAGGAAAGATGTCAAGCCCCGTTTGATTGTGATGACCGATGGGGATGACAGGAACCAAAATAAAGAAAAGATTTCACGGATAGCTAATCTCTTGCGCAATGTGGATGATGTGACCATTGTTGTGGTGGTTGTGGGAGAATTCGTCAATCCAATCGTGTTGAATCTGATTGCTGGTGAGAGATCAAACATATACAGAACAGTTTCACACAGCAACCTTAAAGACATTGCACCAAGGATAGTGAGAGCAATTTGCGACGACCCTGAATGCAGTGAGTCCTTTGTTTCTTCCCATTTTCCCTCTTAATGTTTATATACATTGTGGTTTATTGAAAAGAATACATCAAACTGTTGCTTATTGGTACAGCTAACCTTGATAGTATCTTTGAAAATGGACACTAGCTTTATTCAGTAGGTCCTCTGAGAGTGTTGCTGTATGTAATATATGATGTACTAACGTTGAGTTATCTTTTGATTTGTCCCCTTTACACTTTTGGCACAGTCGTCAAACCTGTCCCACCTCCGACGTTTCCCCCGCCGCCCATAGACTGCCTGATCGACATTGCAGTGGGAATCGACATCGCAGGAGAGTCGGGAGATCTCTTGCTGTTCTACCACAACCAGCTGCGTTTGAACCTCTTGCCAACACTGATGGCGCTTAACAATTTGTTGCCATCCACCTGCACAAGGCCATTCAGCGTTCGCTTCGGGTTCCATGTCCCCAACACAGACCCTCCCTTCATCACCACCTTCCAGCCGCTGACCGACGACGTTGTGAAGCAGCTGGAGATGAGGGTTATACGGGAGACCTCGCGACTGGATGCTCGCTACCTCCTATCATTTGGAGAAAAGTTCAGGAGAGAGTCTGACAGGAATACCTACATACAGGTACATATACACCATTGTTCATATTTAGCATGATTTTATATTAAACATCAGCTGCGCAAGTCATAGAGTATAAAATGCAATCGCATCATTATTTAGCTATTAAAGATGAAATTAGTTACTGGATGGCATAGTCGGAGGGATGGCCTCACATTTGACTCCACGATACTTTGGTACACAGTGGAGCTCACAACTCAATAGTTGTAAGGTGCCCTGGTTTTGTGGCTACAAAACAAGTTGAAATCATCACCCCTCCGCCAACATGCTTAACAGGTGAAGTGCTTGTGCTGATATGCAGTGTTTGGTTTTTGCCAAACGCGGTGCTGCGCATTATGGCCAGACATCTCCACATTGGTCTTGTCTGTCCAAAGAACATTGTTCCAGAAGTCTTGTGGTTTGTTCAGATGCAACCTTGCAAACCTAAGCCGTGCTGCCATGTTCTTTTTAGAGAGAAGAGGCTTTCTGGAAACCGTTCCAAACAAACTATAATTGTGCGGTCTTTTTCTATTTGTACTGTCATGAACTTCAACATTTAACATGCTACCTGAGGCCAGTAGGGTCTGAGATTTAGCTTTTTAGGTTTTCTGCAGTTTCTCTGAGCACTGCACGGTCTGACAAGGGGGTGAATTTGCTGGGACATCCACTCTAGACAGAAAGTGAGTAGTTGTCATTGTTGACACACCACAGCACACAGGACTCAACAATGAAATGTATCCTCTGCAATTAACCCACATCATGACATAGCATGGGGCAGCTAATTAAGTGCCCAGGGAGCAGTGCTTTGGGGCAGGACATTGCTCAGGGTACCCCAGTGGTATTTTCATGGTTGTGAATATGAACTAGCATGAAGTGCACTTCCCTAGCCATTGGGCCACCACTGCTGGGAAGACTGGCAACTGTAATGTTTTCCACTGAAATGAGTAATCTTTCTCACTTCAGAATGATGGAGTTCAGATTGTTTGGAAATGGCCTTATAACTCTTCCCAGATTGATGGGCAGCAACAATCGCTTCTCTAAAACGATTGCAGATGTCTTTCCTCCTTGGCATTGTGTTAACACACCTGAGTGCTCCAGACCAGCAAACTGCCAAAGCTTCAGCTTTTATAGAGCTGGTCACACTTGCTGATGATCAATTAATCAAGACCATTTGATTAGCAGCATCTGGCTGCTACATACCCTCTTAATTCCTGTGGAAGCAGCACTTAATTTTTCACACATTGCTTCTGTATTTTGGCTTAGTTTTTGTAAAATAAACAATGACATGGTGTAATATGTCATGTGTTGTTGTTCATCTGAGGTTGTATTATTATGTCCTTTTACGTAAAACCTTAGAGCTGAAAGAGGGTGTACTTTCTTTTCACGTGACTTTATGTCAAAATAAAGGAACTGTTAAATAATAGAATAAATACTTCTTGTTGATCCCCATGGGAAAATTCTCTTTACACCTCCCTGAACTGATGTTTAACCACGATGATGTTTAACAGATGATGATTAACCAGATGATGCTGCCAGTACTATACTCTGATCCAAGAAGTTAATTAATTATTGTTTGTTATAAGAAATAAACATTTATTCTTGCTTTTTTTAGGTTATATTGCTCTTCACAGATGGGCTGGATGCTAGTTACGCAGAACTGAACAGAGCAACCGAATCTCTCAGAAGGGATGGTAAGGCTCGAGTGTCTGGTGGTGATTGCCAATGTAGTTTGAGATATGATTTAAAGAATTCTCTTCTGAAATCAGTACAATTACATCATGTCGCTACTCTAGCCACAACGGCTGTTCGCAGTTGCAGTTCTGGCAGTACGTTACCAGTCTCCTCACAACACCTTCAAAACAATTCCCTTTCCAAAGGTTGTTCTCTTGAAAGCTTGGTTAGATTTTCACAGAAATTTCTCATGAACCCAAACAAGGAGGCCAAGAGTCACATGTGGTATCGTGGCAATGGCTCCCACCACCCACAGAAGCCAGCAGAAAAATAATGATGGTAGAGAATTTGATCCAGGAACCCCCCCGACATAAAAAGGGTGTTTGTTCCAAAATTATATGGATTGTAGCACATGTAGCAGTGTTCTAGTGAAATGTTTTTTTTTGATACTTGCTGCACTGTTGCCAGCTATATGAGCTATGTATTCTGGTGCAACTTTTTGGCCTTGATCAATGGACAATTGCTGTAAGACTGGTTACAGACAGGAGGGAGAAGGAAGCCATGTGATGTGGGAATGGGGGGGAATAATATGGACCCAAAGTAGCCAAAGTAGCAGACAGGAACCAAAGCACAAAATGTTGCGGGTGTATTCACTTCTCACTACTCACTGTGTACTCACTAGTAGCTCTGTAGGAAGATCTAAAGCTTAACCTCTGAAACTTAGTGTAGAACAGAATCAGGCATACAAAAAAATCATATAAACAAAAATTAAAAATTCAGCCATGACTGCACAAAAGTTTTTAAAACAATTACAAATATGATGCACCATTGCAACATTGCATTGTTGTTCCTAATTCAATAAGTATTTGTAGCAGGATGCTAACAAGTGCTGAGTTTGACGGCCAAATTTTCAATTAAAATCGTGTGGTGATAAAAAGGTGAGAATATCTGTCTTCCTGTGGCCTCCTTTCTCTACCCGCACAGGAGTTCAGGGCCTCATTACAGTGGCCTTGGATGGGATGTCGAAGGAGGCAGTTCAGGAGCTGCATGCTATTGAATTTGGCCCATTTGGGACTGGGTTCTGCTGCAGGGCCCAGCTTGTTATCAGCGACATGATTGCCGGTGCTTTGCACTCCGCGTTTGTAAGTCACTGTGTCTCCGTTCCTTATTCTTCGGCCTTCATGTGCTTTGTACTGTATACTTTACACTACACTCGAACATATATATTGCATGGTATTATATTACAACTGAAGTCTCTCTAGGCATTATTAGGTAGAGTCATTCGATTATTAGGAATAATTAGAAGTAGAGAGAAAATAACATGCTGGGCATTGATGTCAGATGTGGGTGCTCTGATTTCAGGTCACCTTTGCAGAAGAAGTCTGCTGCAGTTGCTGCTTGTGTGTGGGCCCACCTGGTCCCAAAGGTTCTCCTGGAGTGGAGGGTGTTGAGGTAACCTTAAGCAGTAGATTTACGGTTAATGGCGTGATTTGTGCTCCTCTAGTATTAATAATCCAAAAGGAGTTGGGTTTTGAACTATTAACCTAATGGTCCAGGAATTTAGCCAGTAGGCCTACTCCACAACGCTTTTATTCTGCCAATATTTCTATCTCAGTGAGAATATACACCCACCTTTGTAAGTGCAAGAATCTCCCCACCCCCACCTTTAGCTGAGCATGTTCTAATGATGCCCACTAACCAGGCTAACGATGCATGCTAGCTGTGCCAATGGCACCTGCTAGCCATGCTAACAACACCCGCTTGCGGTGTTAATGGCACCGCTAGCCGTGCTAATGAGACACGCTTAGCCACGCTGCTCTCTGCCATGATTCGCAAGCTGCTTCTGTGGTAGCACAGCTGACCTGTCTCTGTGTCCATTTTCAGGGCATTAAAGGACAGAAGGGCATGGAGGGACACACCGGAGATGACGGGATGCCGGTAAGATTGGGTGTGATCGTGTCCACAAGTGCTTGTCATTTCATTGTGTGCATGTATTGTAGTTTTATTTTTCCCATACAGTACACTATACAGTACACTACATATCTCATAATAGTTTCATTTTGAAAATACCGCCTCACCTTACGTCAAACTTCATCTTGAGACGGGACAACACTTTTCCAATTGGTGTTCATGACAGTGGGATTTTGTGTGGCACCCTGCCCGCTTAGCTCTTCCGTCCTTGATGATTGCTCCTCTTCTCCCAGGGAGCGGTGGGGAAGCGTGGGGTGGACGGACCTCCTGGTGACCAAGGCTGTGCAGGACCGAGAGGCACAAAGGTAATGAGCATGGACTCTGCAGCATGGCGTGTGACCGACACGTGAGGGTCAGGGAGATGTGCATTACACACCTCCCGAGGTAGACGTGCACTTTCTGATCGAACTGCAGATGTTCCTGAAATGTTCAGTGAAGCATCTGGTGGCTTTTACTAGTTCAATGAACAATCCCACATCCTCAGGACTCAGTCCACTGTAGACAAACATTTTTTTCAAAAGTATACATGCAATTTGGTCTAGCACTTTGTCACTTTCTTTTTATTTTACAGGGAAACAGAGGATTCACTGGAGATAAGGTAGTGTGACCGTGATCGGCTTGGGTTCCAGTGGGGTAATCACAGCACAGGGGTTTTCAACACCATGGAACATCTAGCAGAAACATCAATTCAATCAAGAATTCAAATTAAAAACATGACATTTCCTTACATTGCACTTCGGGACATTTCCTTGACAACCACCAAAGCTGCCAGTTTGTTGTTCCCAGGCTGTAAAACCAGTCTTGGCTGGTTTCATTAGTTAATGATTACATTTAGCCATCTGCCTAATAAAGCTTGTTAGACTGTGTGCATTAATATGTGTGTGACCCTGATACTGTACATGTAATGCTCACATGATGCTGTTGCCTGATGCCATGAGTTGTCTTTCCTACTTTGGTGTCTATTGCTCCTAGGTAACTGCTCAAAACTTACTGATGCATTTAATCAAAATGGTGGAAATAAAAAGTAGATTAAAAATGTTACAATGTTTACTCATGCACTGGGTTTCAAGAGGCATTTTCTTATTGATGGAAAGTATGGCAACCCTTTACTTAAAGCAGTCATCATAATGCATTATAGATAGGTTCATATGCATTCATAAAGTATTATAAACACTGCTATAATGATTTATAAAAAGGCATAACACATTATAGCCATGTTTATGCATTATGAATGCTTTAGGAAGCTCACATCTATAATGCAGTATAGATACCTTCATAATGCATTATAATGCAGTATTTATAATGCATTGTACATGTGTGCTTTAAGTAAAGTCTTACCAAAAGGTTTTTTGTTTCTTTTGAAAGCTATCTGATGTACAGTACTTGGATTACTTCCAATACACATATTGCTTCATTTTTCAGGGCGAAAATGGAGCCGATGGTTGGGACGGGATCCAAGGACAACAGGTCCATTCAGCTGGAAGATCTCTACAGTGAATAATGTTAAAATCTCCATTTGTATCTTTTGGAGGAAACTGTCTTTTTTTCATCTTTAGGGAGATTCTGGACTCGACGGACATAAAGGAGCCAAAGGGGATCATGGAAGTCAGGTACCTCTATAATACAGTAATACATTAACCAATCAGTTAGCAGTATTAATTTCTAAGGGAATAATAACATGACATATTAAAGTTTAAGAGCATGGACTCCTCTCTTTTACCCTTGAGTGACCTGAGCTTCATTAAGAAAATACTCACTCTTTTATTGAATTAAATAGTTTATGCAATTTCAACAAATGCCTAAAAGAAAACAAATCAATGAATGAATGAAACTAAGAGTAACTTATAATTTATCTTATTTATGTATAATTGTCCATATTCTGCTACAAGCTGTTAGCACAGCTGAGTGTCATTATCCCACATATAGGACACTGAATTTTAGACAGTGAAAGTGGGACAGTGAATCAGGGACAGTGGATTGGGGACAGTGAATTGGGGACAGTGAACTGAGGGAAATGGATCATGGACAGTGAAGTGAGGACAGACAGTCAGACACAGAGCGAATCAGATTTAAATCTACATGTTATTTAATACTGTGAACATTCCACTGTGAACTCTATCCAAACAACCCACTGAGAGAGAGCAAGCCCACGAAACACCCCCTTAAATACAGTACCCTCCCTCGGTGATGCCGACCCCCAGGCTCAGTGCCTTACAGTGATCCCTCATTCCATCAATCATTCTGCTCCCTAGGGAGAACCTCCAAGAACAGCAACACCAACAAGTAACTATTTACAGTAAAACTGCAGTCCCTCCCTAAGATCGGGATGCTGCACATCTACTGAGCAGGCTCCAAAGTACATTACATGCACACAGCAGTCCCCACGCAAATATGTAGGCTACTGGAATCATCCCAGTGCCTTTAAAACTGAGCTGGGATGGGTAAAAGTGGCCAGCTAAGCAGGACATTGTCAAGCTCAAAGCTTTTGCTGAGTCATTTGATGTGCTTTCAGGGAGTATTTCATAGGTAAGGTTGATTCTTGGCCTGTCTTTTGCAGCACATTTCACACACAATCCGTCCCCATGTGGTTCTGAGCCAAATGCTCTTCAGTTATCAGGGTGACCTGTCCATTTCAGGGTAACGTAGGATCTCCAGGCCCACCTGGTGATGAAGGAGAAAAGGGTTTGCCAGGAGGACCGGTGAGTGAAAGGACATCACCCCAAGTCTCCCTGCTGTATTAATTTGCTGGTTTAATATTTAATTCCCTGCTAATGAAGTGTAAATTGTCAAAACCAGAGCTAGTGGGGATGTAGTCAGAAAACAACTTCTATTGCAGCTACTTTTGTAAGTATTAAAAAGACACAGCAGGAAGTCCCCACAGAATTTTGCTTGTGTGTGATGGTTCTGTTTAGCACAAGCTGGAAATTTAAAGATGTTTCTGTCATCCAGGGGACACCAGGTTCCAATAATAATGTCCCCGGACAAAAGGGAGACCTGGGTCCAGCAGGATATGATGTAAGTGACCACATCGCCTGCCACATCATCTGGTGTTGGGATGTGCAGAAGGAATTTCCTTACTAACATGATACCATTCTCTGTTTCTTGAATGTTCTTAATGTTGCACTTTCTGGTCATCAATTTGTTGTGATCTCAGGTTCTTGCTTTGTCTGGAAGTTGTTGTGAAGCTGCTGCTCAAATCCTGCTTACACTTGTACCTGGGCATTCACTGGAAGCTCAGCCTAGCTGCGCTTATGGAAGTTGACTCGTTGACAGAACATTTTTTTGTAACTTGTACGTTGCTTTAGGAAAAGGTTTCTACTCAATAAAGAAAAATGTAAATGTAGATCCAAATCTTGGTTAATGGTGAGATGTGGATGGTCTTTTTGAAACAAATGATTCAATTTAATTTTAATCAATATGTTTGAGTGGACCTTGGAAGGTTCTCCATCTAATTTTCACTATTATTATTCACCAGTAGAAGAATTAGAATCACGGAATTAGAATATGAAGAACTTGCTGTACACCCGCAACCTTGAATACATTTACATTTACATTTACAGCATTTGGCAGACGCCCTTAGCCAGAGCGACTTACATAAGTGCTTTAAGACTCTACAATGAATTTTTCCCGATACTAGCTCAATAAAACCCAGGCTATTCATAGGACAAATGGTTACATGGATGGATGGAATTTGGTTTACACACAAAAAATACCAGTCCTAGTCGATGTTGACACCCATGCTGAGCATCACTGCCAACACCCCCTGTCCGAGGCAAAGTGAAATTAGCTGGCAAGTCAGCTGGCATAGGCGGCTGCCTATGTCTCCGATAGGATTGACTGGCCCTGGCTTATTTTGTCATTGTTCTCCTTTCCCTCCCAAGGGTGATTCCGGCCCAGATGGGTCACCAGGACAAAGAGGAGAACCGGGAAATAAAGTAAGAGAAGCAGTTCACCTGCCAAATGCGCCTCCCTCCAAGTACTCTCTGCGAATCTCAACTTTCTTTGTTCCCCTTTAGGGCAAGAGTGGTCAGAGAGGACTGGAGGGCATACCGGTACGCTTTCCGACTGTCACTGAGGTCATTCTGATTTAGGCAGTTTAGCTGAAAGCTTATACAGGAGCAAGTTATTCCTCTGTGTGTTTCATAAATGAACAGAATATGCAATATTCTGCAAGTGTTTAAGGCTATTTATCTGGATAGTATGTGTATATTTGCTCAGGAAAAAAAAAACCACAATTTAACATTAAAACATATGTAAATATGTTGTTAGACGGCTAGATTACTTCTTCAGTTCCCAAACCTTGCCACAGGGGCACCTCAGCCATTCCAAGTATTTGGTAAATTATAGATGAGAGCTTCGTAAGGCATTCATAATGCATAATACACATGGCTATAACGTGCTATGCCTTTTGATAAGTATTTATAGCCTTGTTTATAATGCTTTATGAATTTGTTATTATTTGTTATGAATGTGTTTATAAACTGCTAGTATTATAACATTTCTTAATAGAACTGTATGTAGAACAATATCTTAGTACCTTGTGTATAAACTGATAATGTGTTTTTGTGATGCTCTTTAAAGCGCATTGAAATCTTCTGTAAGCCTCTTTGGAGAAAAGTCAGTTACATTCATCTAAATATATATTTGCAGGGAACAGAACCAGTGTAAATGAAACAGGGAATGTTAATCCATTTCATTCCTGGCTCTTGCTTTTCCAACTCAAGGTCATAGTGTAAAAAGGGAGGGGAAAAAACATAAATTCTTTCTATTTAAAGTGAAACTGTTTCCTGTTTCCTGTAGGGGACCCAAGGAGAAAACGGTGCTGAAGGTTTGCAGGGTGAGCTGGGCTTCAGAGGCGAGCAGGTTGGTTTGTTTGGGACTTGGGTGCTGCACACTACTGGAGGAGAGCTAAAGCCTACTGATAGGAGCTTGGCAGAACATGCTCTCCTTTATACCATCAGGGCATATCGGGAGCCCCAGGAGCCAAGGGAGAACCTGGAGAGATGGGATGGAAAGGCCCACAGGTTAGTCTTCACCAGATGGGACAGTGCCCATTACAAACATTTTCCTGCCAACTCCCTGTTGACTGGATTCAACCAATTATTTTTGACTGTCTGTGCTATCATTATTGATATCGATAACATAGTCTAACATACAAACATCCTTGTTAGTCAAATGAAAGTGACTGAGTCAGTCTCAGGAGAGAGAAAATTTGTATTTTACGTGCATGAAAGGACACAGACTAAGTTCATGTTTCTTTAAAAAGAAGTTAAGCACAACATACCAAAATCATTAGCTTAAAACTTTGTGGCGGATTCTTGCATTTACCACAGATCCCTTAAAAAGAAAAGCTGCACTTCAAACTTGCTATTTTTTTTTTTTTACTGTTGACTGGGATCCTTGTTTTTTGGCATAATTTAAGGGTGCCGGTGGACTTCAGGGGAGCAAAGGCAGCAAGGGTAACCGTGGAAGATCAGGTCAAAAGGTAATGTCAACCCAAAGGAAGCAGAGGTCTACAAGGACTTTAATACTCTTGCAATGGCAGCTGTACCGGATGAGCAGTTGACTGTTGTTCCCTCCCTTCCCCAGGGTCAGCCTGGGGTGCCTGGTGAAAAAGGAAACATCGGCAACATGGGATTTAGAGGAGAGCAAGTAAGACCATCCTGTTTGACCTAAACTAGTCATCCTGAAGGCACCTCACCTCTGTGTGATGCTGACTCAGCTCCACTTCATCTCCACCAATCCTTATCTTCATAGGGTACTGATGGTTTGGGAGTACTCGGATCTCCGGGGCCAAAAGGGCGCAAAGTAGGTTTCTGTGGAATATGTTTCTGTATACTGTGAGCAGTTCAGCTCTGTCATGTTCAATCAGCACCATCACTAACCAAGTGCTTGTGGAACAGGGAACCTCTGGCAGCGATGGCCATGTGGGACTATGGGTACGTATCCTCTACCATCTATTCTGGTTACCTGGCCCTTCGTCCTGAATCTTATTTGGAAAGTTTTTTTAGGGAGAAGTTGGCGAAAAGGGTTCACCTGGAGATATGGGTCCCAAAGGCCATCATGGAACCATGGTAGGTGTTTTTTGGGAAAAGGCTACACACCATTGTCATGGCAACGTTATTATATAGATCTGGTGGGTTACATAATATGTGAAATCAAACACACAACCAATGAACCAATGAGGCTGGTCTTAAATTTAGATAGGGCACTGAATATGGGTCACACTTCAATCTGGGTCAACTTGTAATTTAGCCGTAATTGAATTTTCAGAAAAGAAACGGTTCCAGCTAAGACAATAGTCTTATGGTCAATTTGCAGTTTTGTTTCAACATTCAGGCACTGCACATACAAATCTGATGATGCCTTAGCTAAGTTTTAGTCCTTTTCACTACGGGGGGCACCGGTAGTAGTACAACAGATTGTAGTCGATTCATGCATACAAGAAGTCATGTTTTGAACATGACTTAAAACAAGTCATGATCTCGAAAAGACAGAACAAGATAATGACAGATGTGCTCTATAGGCTTCCGTACGATGCAGAGATGCAGTGCAAAGACACAGACAAAACAGTTGCGTGTTCATGTTTATGAGGGGTGTTAAAAGTTCCTTGGTTTAAGTTCTTTAAGTAATAAATGGAAAGCAAAATTATATTTTTCTCCTTTTTTTTTCTGACGATTTAAAAATTTATCCATAGCTCAAAATCGTGATACAATCCGAACTGCGGGTTTTGTCATTTGGCTTTGTACCCTGGGCACTGTATCTTCAAAGTCCTCCAGCAGCTACACTCAGGGGTGCCAATATGATATGCTGTCTAGCAGCACCCAAAACTACACTTTAACATAATTCATCACCTGCTGCTATGCATTTGCTTTGCATAAATACCTCAAAGCGTGACATACCTGAGGGTCTTGTGATGTTTTCTTCGGCAGGGCCCGAGGGGACCAGAAGGTGTGAATGGGGACCCCGGTGAGCCAGGTTACCCCGGCCGGAGGGTAAGACCGCCAAGTTCTCACACAGTGCTTCTGTTCACTTTTGTGCTCAGAAGCTGGAAGCCACCATACAGAGCTCCCTATAACCAGGGGCCTGCATCACGGAGCCGGATTTCTCGCTTAGCCAGATAACTTGTCAGATTCAAGATAGTCTGAGCTAAATGTAAGTGAATAAAGGTAAAGTTCATTTTAAACTGGGGTACCTAAAATCTGACAAGTTATCCGGCTAAGCAAGAAATCCTGCTTTGTGATTCATGCCTCAGGACCATTGCTGGGATCTTAAGAGTTACCAAACTAAGAGCATGGCTGTAAACACATCTAAGCTGTACAAATTATTTGGGGCTATTTTGGATACATGCAGGTCATTGGCCTCAAATTGAACACAACATCCATCTCAGACATGCCTAACTTCTCTAAAGAATGAAATATTATTCATCCTTAACATAACAGTGAGTCAGCCAGGAATTCTGCTCAGACCAGTACAATTTACAGTTGTTGTTCATTTCTCAGCCAGGAATTCTGCTCAGACCAGTACAATTTACAGTTGTTGTTCATTTCTCAGGGACCTAAAGGATTCCCGGGAACCCCAGAACGAAGCGTAAGTATGGTACTTTCTTGCACTTAAACTCGTAAATGCCAATAAAACAAGTAGATCCTTCTAGGTACATCTCACTGTTTTTTTATGTAGGAGTGCAGCCTTCTGGATTTTGTACGGGACAACTGTGGTAAGTCTTTTGTTTACTAACACCTCACATATGTTATTAATGTACTTTATTAGGAAGCCCTTTCTCTCCTGAATAATGTTTCCTTTGCCCTCGTATTTCTTGCAGCTTGCCAAGGTAAGATGTCTTCCATGTCTCATTCTCCAAGTAGACTTTGAATCCTCCGTTAATCTTCAGAAATTCACCACTTTAACTTCCCGGCTTCAAGATTTGACCCCAGATTACCAATATTCCCAGGCTGCCACAAGTGTCCCTCTCACCCGCTTGACCTGGTGATCGCCTACGACATGTCCGATGAGGTGCTGGACTTTCAGCTCAATAACATGAAGAGCCTGATCACACGAATCATAGAGGACATGAATATCAGCGAGAGCAGCTGCCCAGCCGGTGCCCGCGTGGCCGTAATGTCCTACTCGGACACGGCGAAGCGGGTCATTCGCTTCAGCGACTACCTCACTAAAGGCACCCTGCTGCAGCTGGTGAAGGACAGGGTGCTCTACGAGAGAACCAGCGGGCAGCGGGACCTGGGGGAGGCCATGATGTACACCGCAAGGCATATGTTCAAAAGGACCCGTGGCGGAAAGCTGGGGACAAAGATGGCCATCTTCATGACAAGTACGGGAATGTGGAAAAGCGGGGGTAATGGGCGAGGAGTGGGAGGGTCAGGGGGGGTCTGATTATTAACCCAAACACAATCAATAATTTAACGGATTTAAAATGAATATTATGAGCAATACTGAGGTTGAATTTGGGAAATTGTGTAAATGGCTAGCAAAAAATAAACTATTAATATGTATACACTAATATATGGATGCATGAAATGAAAACAAAACATAGCAAATCCCAAACGATATAGTGATTGAGATATCATGACCTGTTATTATTCTAAATGTACTACTAACAGTTCTGACATCATCACAACATCTGAGTCAAACATTTTAACAAATTATCCATACCATATTGCTGTATGTCGACACATTAGTAACAGCGGACATTTTGGTTCTTTTCACGGAGTTCAATTACACCCCATACATCCATCCCTAAGCAGCAATGCAGTACAGGATCACAGAGTCTGGAGCCAGTCGCAGAAAGTATAGGGCTCGAGGCAGGGGACACCCATGGTGGGATGAAAGTACTAGCTGTAATTGTGAATTACATTTTCTTTGTATTTTCAGGAATGTATATGGGACGAGGGGATTTTGCAAGAGTCCAGACCACAGAACAGCAGCTGTACACAGCAGCTATGGAGCTGTATGCAAATGACATCACTCCAGTGATTGTCACCTCGGTGTCACCGGAGTCACAACTCACCGATGCATTCTTGGTAAGCAGAACATCGTTTCCTTTCTACTCTGGAAATTACAAACATTTCCAAGTATGTTGAAAGAATCAGTCAACAAGAGAAGAGCAGGAACAAAATATTTATAAGGTTACGGACACTAGAGGTTTCAAGCAGTAAACTAAAAAAAGATTAAGTGAATCAATGAGTCTATAATGGAAAATGTGTGTGAAGAGAATGAGGAAAAATTCCACACTGGAAATATTTGGAAGGGAAAGGTGTGCAGAAACCTGTGGGCCCTTAAACATGTTGGAGGACTTGATGAGAGGATTATTTTGGACAATATTGTTTTGTATGTGGAACATTTTTAAAAAGTTGCAATTTGTTGTAAATACTGCTGTTTGATTTACTGTGTGATTTATTTGCTTTCAAAATTCCTCAAAAACCTGGTAGAACTTTCCGGGACGATACGGGATCATTAGTGACAGCAGTGAGGAGCAGATAATGGGACGTCTGCGAGCTTGCTTCCTGTGTTACGGTGAGGCCAATTCTTTGTGGGGCATCTTCTGAAGCCACAGCTAAGAGTCATGGGGGAATTTTATACCCCGAATTAACAGATATATGGTACGGGGCAAAAAAAGAATACTAGATAGGATAGGATGACAAAGAGATGAAGGATGACCATACTTTTTTAAGCCAGAAGTAGATGAGAAATGACTGTTATCCTCTTTGTTCACATTGCCATCTTAGATTCCTGCCACCCAGACCCGACGTGCCCAGCGGAACGGCACAGCCCTGTCAACGTCAACGCAGACGTCCTCTTCATGCTGGACAGCTCACACGGCATCAGCGAGGTGGAGTACGAACAGGCTCGCGGATTCCTTTACTCCATGGTGGACCGGTTCGGGCCCTCGGGTGCCTCGCCAAGCCCCCTTCTGACTGGAGCGAGGCTCGCACTCGTCCAGCACAGCGGGGTCACGCCCGGCAAGAGGGACCCCATTGAAGTGGAGTTCAACTTTCTTAAATATGCAGGCAAACAGGAGGCCATGAAGAATCACATTCAGCACCTCACTAGGCGCATCCACGGGTCCTCCGCCTTAGGGCCGGCTCTAGACTACGTGATAGGAAGACTCTTTAATAAACAGACCAGGTCTAACAAGGTTATATTCATTATTTTGGGTGGGGCAAGTGACCACCGAGACCATAGACTGAAAGAGATTGCCCTCAAGGCGAAGTGTGCTGGGTACATCCTCTTCACCCTGTCCCTGGGGTCCAAGACCAGGTACAGGGAGCTCTACACCATCTCAAGCCAGCCGATCAGTGCACACTCCTGTCAACTCGATGTAGCAGGTGCCGATGATATAGATTACGCTCTTCGCTTCGCTGAGTCGTTCTTCAGCTTTCTGCCAAGTAAGTGGGCCTCCAAAACGCTGCCATGAAACCAGGATGTTACACGTTTTTTGCGCTTCAGTTACGGACTGGTTCATGTGGAATGCAGGACATGATCAGAAACATGCGCTCCATTCACAAATATTCAGCGGCTGAATTTGAAGACGTTCTATCTTTTGTATTGTTAATAGAGAGGCCCGGTACTGACCCTCACTGGAGGGTGGACGACTGCGACTTTACAAGAACCGAAGACGTGTCAGGGTACGTTCCTCGGCATTCGCTTTTCGGGACTGGGGTCGCAGAATCCACCTGGTGGACAAATTTCTTTTCAAAACAAGTAGTCATGCATTCTCTGTGCAGGTTAAGTAACAGCAATCATGGAATCTGAAGGTCATTCTGAATGAGGAACTTCAAAGTACAAATTCCATTAAACAGTAGGGTTTCATTACCCATTACAAAAATGCAGTGCTTAAAAGTGAAAATTCTCATGATGTTTTTTTTTTTTTTTTTTTTAAATACAGCACATGTGGTTATATAATCTTTGGCAATTAAGTTGACAGCTAATATAAAACATTCCTCCTCCGAAGGTTTGATGTTTTATCAGACGGCGCACACATGGAGTCTGAAGACATTCCCAAGCAGGCCATCAATGCAGAACTGGGCTTTGTCCAACCTGAGCCAGATAAACAGCTCCCGGCTATGCTGCATGTTCAGCAGCAGAACAGCCCCTCGCTGCTGGACACTCGGCCTCAAGATGCCGCTAAAATGGTGGACGGTCTCCCGGGCGAGCTGGCGGAGGTGCGCGAAGGCCCACGGGAGGTGGAGCCCCAGACGGCTGCATCCGAGTTGAGCCCCACATCCAAGAAGCTGGAGTTGAGCCCAGTCATGAGACAGCGCTCTGAGCTGGCAGGACGCCTGGGCCACCCACTCCCCCAAACTTCTGGTGAGTTTCCTGCCTCCTCGCAGCCCTAACAACGCCCATGTTGGCTGTACCTCTGGCTTCCTGACTCCGCCGCGTTTCCCATAGCCCGCTGCCTGCAGAACAAGGATAACGGCAGGACATGCAGAAGATCACAGGCCATCCAGTGGTTCTACAATCGGCAAGTGAAGCGGTGCGCCGTGTTCTGGTACGGCGGGTGCGACGGCAACGGGAACAGGTTCCCCACACAGGCGGCCTGTCGTCAGCTTTGCGTCGCCCAAAGTGAGTGCGATATTCAGAAAAGGGCTATGGTCAGGAATAGATTTAATGCTGGTATTTTATTATGTTTATTATTATGGGCTGTTATGCTAGTTTTTTTCCAGTGCTAAATATCATAACTTTATTTTCTGTGTGCATTTTGCTTCCAAAAGGATCGCATGTGTGATTCCCGGCGTGCCCTCGCCTGCTGAGCCTTTACCAGCATCTTATCGCCACCTTGTGGCAGAGGATTGAAGGGACGCCAACCCTCTCTGTGCTGGTCCGAACAGGCCACACCCCATCCGCCTTTCCAGGCTACATTCCAGGCCAAGTAACTATTATGTTTATTGAAGTAACAATGTTTGAGGCACCCTGAAGCAATCGGGGCTGAGAATCACAGTGATTGGCTGCATGGGACTAAATAAAAGGGTACTGGGGGGATGGGGGTCAAAGGTCATATTATACAGCAGCCTACTTTTGCTTCCATTAACACTGCTGGATGAAAAAAAAACAGTTTCAAATAAATTCTCTTGCCCAAGTCAGTTGTTGTCCTGTATGTATCACCAGACAACGAAGGAGATGATCAGAGAGGATGTTTGTAACACATATACTGCTGCTTTTTCACTTTTGCTTCTTCTGAAACCATATTGTAAGAACATGGAATGATAAATGAAAAATGGGTCATCTTGTCCTCACACACTCTCTCTCTCTCTCTCTCTCTCTCACACACACACACACACACACACACACACACACACACACACACACACACACGTTTGTATACATCTTTATGGGGACTCTCATTTCTATGGGCAAAACCCTCATCCCAGCAATGTCAACCTTAACCCTAATAAATTATTACTAGGGGTCACCAATCACCATGGCAGATTCTGATGGGCATTCTGATCAAAACTGCATTTTTTACCACGGACACTATTTAAAATCATAGGCCTAGTTTTTCCTCTCAATCAAAACATTTTGCCAAAGACACATTGGTCCATGTATGGACAGTTTGACGTTCCACCTCCACCGTTATATTCCTTCATTAATTACTCTCCGTAGTTATTTTCTCCTCCTGTGCAAACGAGCACAAGCCCACCAGGAGCCTTAAAGGCAAATATCAGAGGAGACCACACAAAACGTGTTTTGGACATTTATTCAACACATCAGTCTGGAGATCTATGTCTACAAACATGCGTTTTAAGCTCACAGTATTGGTCACAAGGGGGTCAGAGAGTTAGGGGTGAGACTGTTTTTGTGCTGCAGTCATTTTTAAAACCATGCTTCTTATACTTAGCTTTAAATATTTTATATACACTAGGTGCTAGGCTGCTGGGTGTTATAGGGGCCCGGGGTGGGGTTACTTCCAGACTTTGACGATGCCGTCCCTGGAGGCCGTGACGATGAAGCCCTGAGTGGTCTGGAAGGTGGCGATGTCGGTGATGATGTCGTGGTGGCCCACGGGTAGGGACTCGGGGCCCCGGCGGGGGACATCCTCTGAGGAGCCGCTCTTCTGCTTGCTGTGGATCTCCTGTGCGGAGAACCACCGGTGGGTGGATGGGGGGGGGGGACAAACTACGCATTGAAACTCATCTCAGATCCACAGTGATTCCAATAAGTAAAACGAAATGGAGAATCCATAGGTTTGTATTCAGTAAACAAACGGGACCAGCATTACATACCTCAACAGGACCCTCCATATCAACAGATACTTAAACCCAAAGCTTTACTACACCAGCACAGAAGACTACTGGTTGCGCCAATGTGGTAATTTTGGCTGATACTGATATCTGATATATTGTCGTCCAATATTACCGATAACATCTGAGTGTAGCAGCCAAATCATATAATGGAGGCAGTCAGCCATCAGAAAAGCAGATCCCACTTGGCAGAGTGTACTGAGGATGTAAGTGGTGAATGAGCCACTGTATTCTCTCATCCTTGACTATGGAAAATGACTCTTCATCCTATGCAATCATCCCCATTATTTTATTAGTTTTATATGTATCTCTGGTGCTGCTAACTCTGAATATTGGTAAAATCTAAAGATGGAACAGCAATATCGACCAAGATAGATACATTAGACCAATGCAGATATCTTGATTTTTATTAAGAACATTAGTTGATACATATGTTCAATCGATATCTTCGTGCTTCTCTTCAGAAGATGCTTTTGCCATCTCAACTGGCTCTCAATCAACATTTAAGCGCTTTGAGGTTTTCAACAATGACCACAAACATCCAACCAAATATGGCACATATTCGGTTTTCCCGGCATCTCACCTGAACGACTTCTGTTCCTTCGATGATCTTGCGGCTGTAGAACACTGAAGGACAGTGCAAGGAGTCGTGAGCTCCCCCGGCGACGATGTAGGACCTCTCTGGGTAGACCAGGTCCCAGAACCTGTGCACAGGAGGAACAAGGAAAATGATAACGATGGATCTTACTAATTTAATGAGTATTAAGCAGCACCTCTGTGTACCAGACAGTCCCAGAATCTCCATGCAGCAGGAACTACCAATTCATATAATAATTATCATCACCAACATCACATCCAGTGTCTGCAGTGACACTGGCCCTGCACAAACCCTACTATCTAAACCGTGCCACCAGTCCAGCTGATTGGAGCTCAATCATCAATAACAGCCGTGCAACAGAACAGGGACCATAAATCACTGACAAATGAAGGAAAGAGCCCCCCAAGTGCGCACATTCACCCATTTGCTTCTGTAAACTCTACAGGCTGCACTGACTGGCTAACGCACTTAAGGGAGGGCACTATTCACTCTATGGGCTGTTCTGATTGGTTAACACGCTTAGGGGAGGGCCCCATTCACTATATGGGCTGTACTGATTGGTTAAAGCACTTAAGGGAGGGCACTATTCACTCTATGGGCTGTACTGATTGGTTAACACACTTAGGGGTGTGTTAACCAATCAGGCACATCTATAGTGGAAGCTAGATAAGGTGACTGAAAGCTAACCAGTCTGCTTTACCAACATCGTTTGTTTCTAGAATAGATTATCTTTATTTCCATTCTACATGTACAACAAAACTCTGTAGAACAGGGCTTCTGGCAGTACCAGGATCCAGACTCACGCCTCCGAGGAGATCAGGGCCTTAACCCCCACCTTAGACCACTCAGCCTGGCTACCCTTCTTTTTACAACATTTTAAATAGCTACACTAATAACGGAACTTGTTAGAGCCCTGAAAGAACCTAGTTAGAACTTAAGTGAACATGGAAAAGCAGACTGCTGGCCCTACCTGATCCTCATGTCGGAGCCGGCAGTGAGCAGCAGGGGGTTCCCGTCTGCGGGGCTGCAGTAGATCCCATGGACGCTGTGGGGTGAGGGCTAGGGGGGCACAGCGGAGACCGCAGGGGGCAGTGAGAACCCAGAAATGCCACAATGGAACAGTAAGTGTACCATCGACTATTATTCAGACAAACCAAGATAAGTACCCCCAGATCATGACTGTCTGGGGTTAAACGTGGGAAAAGAGGAACTGTGGTTAAAAACATGAACTGGGAAACCAGTACCACTCACACATGAATCCAATAAGCACTTTCATTGTACTGGTTTTAAAAGTCTATGCATTAGATTATACGATTAGCACCATTAATGGGACGAAGCTTAGAAGTGCATCGCACGGCTGTGGAAGACGGGGAGGCGACAGACCTGCATTTCCGACAGGGGGGGTGCCGAGCTGGCCCAGAGCGTGAACTTCCTGTCCCCGGTCTCCATGTCCCACATGGACACTTCATTGTTGCCCTGGACAGCTGGACACGATGACAGTATCCATACAGGATTACCTTTGTATTCCCTTTACATTAAACATCTGCCATATTGTGGCTGCGGTCCTAATGTTTGACATTCAAACCAACACTTGAATTCTGTGGTTCCAATTTTAAGGAAAGGAGCCTTCCAGGCTGTTTACGACTTCTAACGCTGTGGTTCCCTGAAAAGCCTAAAATGACAGCTAAATAATCATATGAAAAATCTTGTGTTTGACTTCTGTAAACCCAAAGTACATCAATGCTCTGTTCCCAGAGTGTGATCACTTCCTAGGAATGGCCCCGATGGCACGCACTCCAGTATCGGCGAGCGTTTCCCATTATGTCTTGCAGGGCTGAGGCCTCGCATCTGGGCCACAGCCTCTAAGATCTACTCCCTTCTGGGGATCACTGTCAGCCAAAACAAGTGCACAAGCAGAACAGTTTCTACCCGCATGCTATTACTGTATTTATTCCAGCATTTCTTGCACTGACATGTACTTTTTGCAAAGTCATCAACAACACTGGTGTGCAGTGCTGTATATATCAACTGGACTGTACGTACCCATGTAACCGCTGTCTTAACTGCGTATGCACTGTATGTATGTTGAGCTGTCCTGCAAATATACCAGTGAGCCACTGACAACAGGAGTCAAATTCCCCGCTTGTGTTAGCATACTTGGTGGAAAACATGCGCGATTATGAAAATCATCAGAATCTGTCCATGCCGTTTAATCCAATTACCTCACTACCATACAGTTAATGAGGCATTACATAAGGATTTGTTTGTATTAATGTTTCCCAGTCCTTTTGAAGGTCACTTGTGGTCATTCTCCGATTTATGAGGCACTGTTGGATACGTCTGGCAATAGAAAGTTGCTTCTGCCCTCTACCTGACTGGTTTTTGGTTATTGCCAGTCTCTCCTGCTTCACCTTGTTGTTGTGTACTGCTGTCTTAGAAAATCTGAGACTGGAAGCAGCCTGCCGCGCAGTGTGGCCTCCTGCCAGCAGAACCAGGATTAAACCAGGATTTAAATGTGTGTGTGTGTGTGTATATGTATATATATAGAGATCTCAAATTTTTCCACAGCTGTATTCATACCACAACACTGATGAATTCTTGAATCTGAACAGGAAAGATAAATGATTTATAAACAGGGATGGACATAACAGTACATATTCACTTTTAAAAGTGATACCTGCGGAAATTCATTGTTGTAGCAGCACAAATATGTACGTGTTTTATGTGCATTATGTGCACATGACAATCGTGCATTTTACCTATATATGCCAATTCGTTCTTCATTTACAGTATAAAGGTTAAAATACATGATAGTTTCTTAGCAGTGCAAAAGCACAATACGTACACAATTGATTGCTGCACGTATCGCTTTTAAAGGTGAATGCATACTTGTGTACCAGTTATGTGCATCCCTGTTTATCACGTAGTGCCACATAGGGGTATCACAGTAGCAAATCAATGACCCATTATAATCTTTAATTCTAATTAATGTTCTAACTAAATGTGAAGAACATTAGGTACAACTGTTAAAGCCAAATGTGCAGCAACTCCGGTATTAGCGGGTTAATGCACACCATGCACTGCATTATACGAACTATATATATTTCTTTGGTTCCACAGTCGCGTGTTTAAAATAATGTATAGCTTGTTGTGCATTAACCCTTACATACATCACATCTTCATTCAATTCTTCAAAGCCTAGTCAGTGTTTTTTTTGCATAGGAAATGTTACCTGCGATGATTGATGATTGGTAGAGGGGGTGCATAAGCAGCCGCCTGATTCGTGCCCGAGCCGGGTGCGAGTGGTTGGAGATCGGCAGTTGGAACCGCATATCCCAGCATGCCATGGTGCCGTTACTGGTACCTGTGGAACAGAGGGCAAGCCAAGGGCATAGCCAATTAAATCTCTCAGGCGAAGAAAGCAATTTTTAATTAGCCGAAGTGAGAGCTGTTTACTGACTGGCCGTATGAGATGCTTTAGTGACGGAGAGCCATCGTTTAATTTGTTGATTGGGTTGCTAATCACTGGCATAATTTTGATATACAGGTTAAAAAAAGATCCTGGACAGGGAGCAGTTTGTTAGAGACTTAAATGGGTTGTTTTTTACAGGAGAGCGATTTTCTGATTGGGTGAATGTAACATTTTTGGGAGAGAACAGCGTTGCTGTTTTGCGGATGTGGCTGCCAGTGGGGACCGGTCACGCACGCACCCACGCAGAGCCAGCACTGGTGCGTGTCCACGGTGAAGGAGGTGATGAGGCCCAGGCGCAGGTCGTGCCGCAGCGTCCAGGCATCGCTGCCGCTGCGCAGGTCCCAGCCCACCAGGGCGCCGTTGACGGTGGCGTACGCCAGCACGGACTGCGCGCCCGCGTTGAAGTGGTGGATGTCCACCGCGCAGCCCTGCTCCTTCAGGTCCAGGAACCTGAGCGGGGCACAGACGCCTCGTGAAGCCTCCCACAGCACATGGCGGCCGCTGAAAACCGTAGCCCTTATCCAAGCCAACATCTCATTTATAGTATCATTTAAACTAGGACTTCAGACAAAAGCTACTGGCTACAAGCTAATCTAACCACTGGTTCCCTTAGCCAGTGATGGGCAAATTAGCTTAACTACATTTTCGAGTACATTGTCAGAAAAAAGGGTACCAATTTGTATCTTTGCCTCTCACTAGGGCTGTATCCTTAGTTGTAGAAAAATGTACCTTTTAGTCTAATTTAAGGTACAGAAAGGTACAAACAACATTAATGTACCCCCAACGGGGTAACTTAAAAAGTACTATTACCTACAGCTATTGGGTACAATTGGCAGACCCTTGAGGGTGCAGCCCCAGTGACAAGCAAAGGTACAAACTGGTGCCCCTTTTTCTGACAGGGTAGTGATGCGGCAGTGTGTAGTGAATATATCTTTTATGTAGTGAAGCTGTTTATTTGCTGAAGTAGCGCGTAGCCCCAACAAGGGTCACATGCCCATATTACTCAGCCAAATCGTGTACATTCTGCTAGCTATAGTTCAATGCGTATCTTCCCCCAATTACAATCTAATCTACAACCTGCTCAAAACCAGCTCTCTTTCTGGAAAAGCCATTTTCAATTAATTACCGTTCATGTCTGTAGAAGGTATGGTGACAGGATGGCCATACTTCGATAATGTAATGAAATTAACTGAAAAAAATGCATGTACTCAAATGCTTACTGTGCAAGCAGGCAGTCAGAATCATTATGTTGCTGCTGCCTTTTTCCATCAGGGCTAATTCTACATGAATGCAAAGGCAGCGTTTCTTACGAGGACTGCGACGTTCCTTCTAAGCCGGGTCTCCTTTGGGGCTCTTAATTAATCCTTTTCAGGACACTCTGTTCACCTGTTTTAACACTGTTTGCATTGACATTCCTGTTGTATGGGATTTTTTTTTACTTTTCATCCAAACCAGTCAAGACAAATGAAGATGATAATAAATGCAACATAGAATATGTTTGTAATAATTTTTTGTAGAATCCGGGAGGTGAGTATTATTTTTAATTAGCCCTAGTGATTACGTTTTAAAAGTAGCTTCAACAGAGTTAAGCTTCTCTTGCTATCCAGCTTGTAGCGTAACTTGCTCCATTTCCCTGATGTATGGCTTTCCTGCAGCTCAGCTATATTTTTCATATAGTAACTTACTACATTTTTTAAGTAGCTTGCCTGTATCACTGCCCTTACCTTAGAATCTGAAATCTCTGAAACAAGCATAACCGGTGATGGTAAAGAACAATAACAAAAATAATACACTTCATCCACTATCTGTCACCATCCCTTACTCATACCGCATATGTATGCGTCACATTATATAACGTCCCTCCCCAGCCTTGAGCCTGGGATTGGCTCCAGCCCCTCCCACCACAACCCTGTAGTCTTCAAGCAGCTGAAAGATATGGATGGATTATACCACACCAGCACAGAATATCTGATGCAATCTCTACAATGCCCAGGCGTATCCTCTGAAGAACCTGAATCAAAAGCCATGGCAGAAAAAAAAAAAAAAAAGAGAGAGATTAGGTGTTATCCATGGAGGTACCTGGTCTGGAAGGGGTGCACCTTGGGCGACTTGGGGGGCTTGTTCGCCTCGACGGCCAGAAGCTGGATGGACCCGTTGTCGGAGGCCACGGCCAGGTAATGCGAGCCCTGGCAGAAGGTCAAGGTCTTCACGTGTCCTCCTACACGCGAGTACGTCAGCACCGATCTGGCGAGGAAGGGCAGCAGCTTCAACGAGGCCATACTGACAATACCAAGAGAGATGAGTCGCTTTATAAACAATGCAGGATTCTCCTAGAAGATCATTAATCAGGACCAGATGGTCACTGTAACAGATACTCTTTCTTGGAAGTGAAATTTATGAAACACAAAACTGTGATATATGCGATATCATGGAAAACAGCAGCAACTGCTGGACTGGACTGTCATTCCTCAAGTCCACCAAGCTCTAACAATGAGGCCTGGGATGCGTTCAGATGGGGCCAAACTGCCCGCTTCTGCTCACCTGGTGGTGGTGGTCTTGCCCTCCATCTTCTGGCTGTCCCAGATCTTCACGGTTCCGTCATTGGAGCAGGTGGCGAAGATGGAGTGCTCGTCAGAGACGCGGATGCGGTTGACGGCGGACTTGTGCTCGTGCAGGTGCGCCACCAGCAGCCCTTTGGGGTGCCAACCTGCCAGCAGAGATATCACCAGTTACCCAGTACTGGATGAGTATCAATTCACATTACTACTACTCAAAGGCTGCTGATTGAAATCCATAAACTGAGTACTGCTAAAGTATTCAGGATTCATCCTCCTATGAATCTACCAAATAACACATACAGAAACTTTAACGGATACGTATCGTCTGCACAGCCAGAAGGAAAAATCATACCATCATAGGAAATGTCAGAAAACTAATCCTCCCACTGGAATGTTTACTTTGGACATTTTAATAATTGCCCAACATTCATGCAATCAAGCTATTTAGCTTGAACAGTGGGCTTGACTAATTCTGTAGTTTCAAACAATGAGACTTTCTGGGTGAAGTTCTTTGACAGTTACTGTGTACAATGACTCTTTCAAATATTTCTCTCACTCCATTTTTGTTAGGCGTATGAAACTTGATTGAGGTAGTTTTGGTGTGTCGAGGGTGCCCCCACCTGGCGGGGGAGGCCGGCTTTCCCACTCGGTGCTCTCCATCATCTGTTTGGCCATGCGCTCGGCACTGCACTGTTCACGCTTCTGCTGGACCAGCTGCTGCAGCTCCGCCTTGCAAGTGGTGAGGCGGCGCTGGTAAGTGGAGGCCCCGCCCACAGACTGCACCACCGGCGCGGTTGGGGGGGCCGCCTTCCTGGGCTGCACTGTGGCCCCCTCCGTCACCTGTGGAATGGGAGGGATACCAGCCCTTAGCTTACCAAGCAACTGCATCACCATGACAACACTTCTGTTGGATCACAGCTGTGTAGCTACAAGGGAGGCTGGAAGAAAGTGAACAGGGCATGAGGTACAAGGGCCGTGCTGGGAGTTTTGGGTCGAGCTTGGGAGGAGTTCAGATACCGGTGGTGGAGGCGGGTTGTTGTTTGACGGCTCCAAGGAGCCGAACATGCTCTTCCACTCCTCGTTCATGTTGGAGTCCTGTTTCGTGTGCTTTCTCGCTGAAAAAACAGGGGAAGACAGCCATCAATTACTATCAGCGTTCAACAGATCATAACCAAACTACTATTTTAATGCTTAACAATGTTTGTTTACTCAGATGCATTGTTTGGGATTGAAGTAAGGATGCAGGGATCAGAGTCCTTTGAGAGTTTACAGAGGAAAGCATAGAAGCAGGTGCTTGATAAGAGCCGGTTGAGTGTGGAATCATGGACAGGGTTAGCAGAAGCATGGAGCCAGTCCCAGGCAGAATCTTGAACTGATTTCCAGTAAATGAAGGACAAAATTGAGGTCAGCCATCTGAAGGGTCCAACTTACCTTGGAGACTCTGAAGCATAGGATGAGTGATCTGAGAAACAATATTTATCTAGACTAAAGTGAGAGAGAAATCATTGTAATATTTATGGTTTTTTCCCATTCCCATTTATGGATGGATGGATGGATTTTTGCTTTTTCTTAGTCTAATGCAGTGCCAGTTTCATCCAAGTTACCAGTTTATTTTTTTTTTTAAATATGTGTGTCAGCTTTTAGGCGTTTCATTTAGGGAAGAAAAAAAAGCAAACATAAGTACCACAGCAGCTGAGCAGCCTGGCATGCTGTGAGAGTGTTAGCCAGGATAATCATGCAGCGGAGCCAGAATTTGGACAGGAGGCCCCCCACTCCCAAAAGGTTAGAAACAATACACCACTGTCAGGAAGTCAGTCACGCGCAGTAAAACCACATGCTAAGATGGGGGGGGGGGGTCACTGCAAGGAGAATTTGTTCACTGGTGTGTTAGTGACACCGCCACCACGACGTCCTTCCAGCACGCTCGGGAAGTCACACCACGTCTTTCCGCAGCTGTCAGGCTGAGCTCCTAACAGGAGCAGACCAAAGGAGCCAGCCATGCCCACCAAGCACAGTATATAAACCTCTCGGGCCAGTATATTGCATATTTTGATGTAATGCAGACTGGTAATTCTAAATCTGGACGTCACAGCCCAGATGGATTTTCTGCCATTTTACAAAATCAAAAGATTCGATTTTTACGGAAAATTACAGAATATATCACACATCTGATCCTACCATGGGATAACAAAATGATTTTTGAAGAGCTTGCCTCTTGAAACAAAACTTTAAATGCAGTGCAATGGAAAAGGCAGGCACCTACTTACAGCTCATATCTCTATATGAAAATCTGAAAGATGCCTACCTCTCTTGTCCTCCGATTCGTTCTTGGGCTTGACGAGGTCCGCGTAGCGGCCGGTAATGCCCAGGGTGCCCAGGTCAATGACCCCACTCTGCACTCCATCTCCTAGGTGGCTCTGGTCCACAATGTTAGCCTTGGCCTTGTTGGACTTCAGCATGAAATCCTTCAGGGCCAGAAGTTTGTCCTCCTCAGCCTCCGTCATTCCCTGTTAAGGATGCACACGGCTTTGGTTTGTGTGAAAAACGGATGCACATACATGTGCATAGATAGGTCTGCATGGGTGTATGGATAGATATCTATAAACATATATGCACAAACATGTGCCACCTAGCCATTCTTCAGCAGGAGCAGTAACTTGTTTAGGCAGGAAAGCATAGAAGGCTTTCTAAAAGACCTGTGACAGCAGTTTCTTCAGCAGCTGAGCGATGGCTGGGTCATCCGGAATGGGACATTCAGGGATGGAGCCACTGCGTTTCTTCTGCCGAAGGAGAAGGTGCCGGAAAAGACTGCCGATGTCCTTAGAGCGTAGCGAGTAATCGAAGATGGAGCGGCTCAAGGGCTCCTTCAGGACACTCAGAAGCACGATCTCCTTATCAATCTGCCATGGGACGCAGGACTTGAGTCAGGACGTGAGGTAGGTCATGGGCGTGCGATTACTGGGTCAGTCAGACCACAAGGTAGATCACGGATGAACATTTAAGCCATGAGTAGAAAGTACAGAAAGTACATCATCTAGCAAAAGAGTCTGCAGATCACCTCAGTATGGACACAAAGGACAGAAAAACCCTCAATCAGTCACATCAAGACAGAAATTTCCACAAGATGCGAGAGGCAGATATCTCTGCTCAGAGGAAAAGAATCATGTCAATGAACTTTTAGATCAAAAATCTGATAAATAATATGTAAAACTGTCATTGCAGCTTCACAACACTGATATTCCTTGATATCTATACCTCTTTTCAGCTAAACAATCACATTTCTAAAGGGCAGCCTATACAAGCTTCCCATTAAACCATATCCCACGGAAAGGGGGAGGGGTCTGTAAATGTCAATCAGAGGAAGATGGGGGGGGTCTTCTGAGTCTCTCACCTGTATGATTGGCTGTGTGATGAAGGGAGTGAGGTGGGGCATGAGTTTGCAGTACACGTCGGCAATGTTGAGGTGCTGTGCCACCACCGTGATAAAGCCCACCGCGCCATAGCGGATCCATAGGTTAGGATGGCACAGAAACGGAGCTGCAGAGGAGAACGATGATAGTCACGTGATTCATATAGCTCCGCCCACACAACAAAAGTCTCTCTTCGTCTCTGAGACTACTGTCCACGAATTTCCCAAGACAAACTAGCTAAAGCTGGTAGGAACTACGCAGCCTCACCAGCTGCCCGCCCCCCACCCGGTCTCACCGATGTCGCTGACAAACTCGTAGATGTGTGGCTTCTGCAGCAGGCCCAGCTGGCACATGCAGCTGAGAGCGTTGAGGGCCTTGGCGATGACGAACTCCTCAGCATCGCTCAGGCCCTGCTGGAGCAGCGGCTTCAGGATGGAGGAACTCTGCCAGCCCACGTAGGCCGCCACGCCTGTGGCGAGATGCGGGGTGGAGTGCAGTTAAGATCACCATACTGCCCCATGAAGGCAAGACAGAGCAACTACATTTACACTGACAAGCAAAGGCTGTCTTGGTTTCAGGTAGTGATGGCCAAATGAAGCCTCGTGAACCACTTGCTGTATTTTCTGACCCCACTAGATGGTGCTCTCTGTACAAAAATAGGCTCAAAGCATGCCCAAAGCAAGCCAAGAGCACCACCTAGTGGCATCAAAAAATACAACAAATGGTTCATGAGGCTTCATTTGGCCATTGCTAGTTTTAGTGTGTATTTTGTAGCTATTGTACTTCTCTTCAGAATTGAACATATTTGAAATAAAATACTGTATCACAAGATAAAACAGAGCCTATGAGACCTCATTTCGGTCATAACTTCATTTTGATAAATGTAGTTACGATGCAGTTACTGTGTTTTGCCTTTGTTGGGCAGTATTAATATCACCATCATTATTATTTCTTGCCTGAGTTCATTAAAATGAGTCAAAATACTACTGAATTACAATAAAATGTAATAGTAACGCTATACATTAACTGCATTCAGTGCACCTTCATAATGCATTTATAATGGATTTGTAGAACATTTGTAAGCAACATGTAAGTATATTTTAACATCCTAACATACTTCAACAGGTTTAATATATTTTAATAGCAAAGATTATATGATTATGCAATTATAATGTTTGTTATCATATACCGTTTGTTATTAATATACAGTATATTAAAGCTGTTAAGGTGTTTTGGGATGTTAAGGATATTTACATGCTGCTTATGAATGCTTTATGAATGCATTATGAAGGTGCACTGAATGTTCTATGAATGCATTATGAAGGTGCACTGAATGTTCTATGAATGCATTATGAAGGTGCACTGAATGTTCTATGAATGCTTTATAAAGACATTATGAAGGTGCAGTTAATGTAAAATTAAACAGGTAACAATTTTCAATACTTTTTTAAGTCGAGCAAAGATCAGCTTCCACAGACAAGCCAGCGGAATTTTATTGGCAGGTGGTTACAGCCTCAGAAGCGTTGATTGGCTGGGATGCCCATCACTCACCCACGATGCTGTCGAAGAAGGCTCCCCGCAGGTGCCAGTCATTCTTGTCATTGAGGAAGGTGATCATGTGGGACAGGAGGACGTCGTTGGCCTTCTGCCGGCCAAAAAAGACGCAGAGACGCGTAATGCCGCTCTCCATCAGGGTCTGCTTCACGATGTTCTCGGGGTCGCTAAGTAGGGTCACCACCTTCTGCTGCACCATCTCGTGTAGCGCTTGCAACTCTGCAGGCCACCGGGCAAGAGGGACAATGCAAATTCCGTTTCTATGCCAACGGTACCAGCCCCCGCATACAAAGACTACTCTAGGCACTAATATTAAACTACAAACTCTGGCAGTGGCTCAACAATAATCATATGTGGAATCTTCCTACAACCAGGGAATACAAGCTATTCACAGTCCAGTTTAGGGGCATGGATTTATAGCTCTGGGACAAGGGTTTGATTGATCCAGTTGCAACTAATTTGCCATTAAAGTTAAGAGGCAGAATTCATGAGTCGGTGAAACTATGGATCTGACTTAATTACAACTTGCTCCGCTGGAATAAGTCTAGCCTCAGGTACAATTCTGACACAGGGATGTTCGGATTTCAAGGTGAAATAAAGAGATAAAAAGCAAGGCTGTAAAAATATTAGTTTCACTGTTAATACTGCAGTGTGAATGTCCTAGAGAACAAGCCAGTAAAGGCTGCACTGGAAGGCCTTTGGGAGTTACCCGAGTCATAGTTCTCATTGGGGTGGAGGGCTTCTTCTGCGTCCTCCCCGTTCAGGTCGTGCTCCACATTCAAGTTGTTCTCCTGGACCAGCTCCAGAAAGCGGAGAGCAGTCTCAGCCAGGTGGGCTATGTTCTCTGGGGGAGATCCAATAAAAGCAATGCAATACAATGCAATCACTGTGATACAATGAGGTGTCAGCCTCGTGCTGCAGAAAATCTGGCAGTAAGGCATATAGACATATACAGTACTTTTCCCCTTGGGAAGTAGGAACAGAATCTAAGGGATCAAGATGCCCCCCACGATATGATTACCCTGCCAACCATGGGATTTGAACCCATGACCATCCGATCACTGGCAAAGTCCTAACCCGCAAAGCCACACAAATATCACAAAATAGGACATTTCAGAATCTTTTTCAAAACATTAGTGCAAAACAAGTCAAATCGAATGAGAAATTGGTGTGGGTTGGAGGTTGATGCAGAGACCAGAAATGTATAAACAATTTGAAGACCACATAAATTTACTGTGTACACTTCCAGTACAAACAAAGCCAAACACAGACAAGAGGAGAACAATTTATGTATTTGCACTTCCCACAAAACTATTTGCTTTGAATAACCAGGAAATTGTTTGTTATGCTGACCAGCATAAGTGCTTGGAAGATAGATATTCAGGATATTAAGAGATAAAGAAAAGGGGTAAGTATATATTTCTTTTTGGGGGGGGGGGGGTGGCTGTCAAAATGCCCAGCACCCCCCCAGATGAAAAGCGGGGTGTACCTGCGTAGGCCAGTCTGACTATGGTGGCCTCGTCCTGCGCCAGGTGGGCGATCCCAGGCAGGATGTACTCGGGGTAGATGTTGATGTCGTTGCGGGGCACTTCCTTGACCAGCGCCAGCACCTTGGTGAGGGTCCGCACAGCCTCGGCCCGCACACGGGGCACCGCGTCGCTGCAGAAGTGCAGCAGGTAGGGCGTGATGCGGTCCAGCAGCACCTCCACGCTCAGCCGGTCCGCCAGGTGCAGGATGAGCTCCAACGCCGCCAGCTTGGAGTCGCAGCAGTGCAGCGTCTGCAGGCAGGAGGTGATGACCGACACCAACACGGCCAACCCGCCGCCCTGCTGCTGCTCACCACCGCCGCACAGATTGTGCAGGATGTTCTCCAAGTCCTTGCGGATCACCAGGACACGCTCGTCCGCCGACTGAAAGGTCTCCTTGGCAAACTGGGCCATGTAGGGCTGGAGGAAGGTATAGAAGATGTCTGGGAAGGCCTTGCCCCTCTGCTGCTTCAGGTACTCCTCCGCAGACAGACGCTTCTCCGGCTCACGCTGCACCATCTGGGCCACCTGCGAGGGGGATTTGCTTTTTAGCCAAATAAGGATAACAGGGTTCTGTCAACACAAGGCCCACAGCGGACAGAGGAACCAAAGCGAGATTCACTGACAACATGAAATAACCCCACCCAGTGCAAGTTTCTGTGTGATGCCAGTGCCTTGCTGCTGAGCCCTAGGGCAAGACATGCAACATGGATTGTTCCAGTGGAAATTTCAAGCTGCGCAAAAAAAAAATCTAACAACTAAGTATACGCTTCAAAGCACTATTCCGGCCACAATTTTCCCCACATTGCAATGCAGAATATACGGTGATGGAGGTAAGGAACTCCTATAGAAAAAAAGATATACTGATGTGGCATTTTTCAGCAAAGAACTGAGCAGAAAGTGGGTCTAACCCATCCGAAAGAAAGCTTACCAGCTCCCGGACACTCCTGTCCTCAATTTTCAGCAGTACTTGTTCAGTCTGGAAGTGTCCTTTGCGGTAGGCAAGTAACTGGGACAGGTCGAACAGAGGAATTCCCTCCGTGAAGAGCTCTGCTATGACACAGCCTGAAAAACATCCCAAAGGCCCCCAAAAAACACTGCCTTAAAGATGTGAACCACAATTTGCCAACACAATGGGGTACATACTGTTGCGGTGTATGAATATATATGGTACAGATGTCTTTACATTACATTTTATATATATATTTTTTTAGAAAGCCGAGTGTGAGCAAATGAGGCTTACCCTGCAAATGCATTTATGTAGGATTGCCTGGTGAAAAACATTATTGCCTTATATGCCATAAATATCTGTGTTTGTCTCTTCCACCATTCACTCAGAACCATGTGGTTCAGGTAGAGGGTATCTATAAACAGTTCTTTATCGAGTGTAGTTCTTAAAATGTATGTAACTAAACGTGTGTACCCTTCTCCTGAAAAAGGCTGCAGGCTCACCACAACCCAACACTCGATAAATTCTGTCAGAGCATGATTGACTATACATAAAAAATTAAGAGACCACAGCACGATTTTTTGTTTCACTCATGTCTGTGAATAATATACAGATTTTTTTTTTTGCAAACTGCAGCTTGGTTCTTCTCTGTTTCTCATTAATGAAGGGCTTCATCCTCACTTTATGGGATTTCAGTCCTGCTTCTAGAAGCCTAATATGAACTGTCCTAGCAGTGCACTTCACACCTGCACTTAATGTTTCCCATTCCTGTTGAAGGTCACTTGTGGTCATTCTCCGTCATCCCTGGCATTAGAAAGTTGCTTCTGCCCTCTACCTGGATGGTTTTTTGGTTATTGCCAGTGTCTCACTTCATTCTTGTATACTGCTGTCTTTTGAACCAATTTTGAACCTGGAAGCAGCCTGCTGCTCAGTGTAACCTTCTGCCAGCAGAACCAGGATTAAACCAAGATTTAAAAATGCTGATATATTTTTTTTTAATATAGAGTGGTCTATTAATTTTTCCAGAGCTGCATGTGTGTCAGGAATAAGCTCCTATAATTACACATTTGTTTCTGGGTTGCAGTTACAATCCAGCTAAGTATGGCTCACAGGCAAAACGCATCCATCATTGCTCTTCCACCGGAATGGACGTCTACCTGCTGAGAATATGTCCATTGGCTGCTTCAGCTCTCCTCGGGTTCTCTGGCCATTGGAGGTGAGGTCCACCAATGGGGTTGTGTGGTCGCTCTCTGTGGTGAACATGCTCCCGTCCACGAAGCGCTCGGGGGCAATGTAGCATGTCCTCCTCCTGGAGGTGTCGAAGAAGTAGTTGAAATCAGCGGGATTGTCTTCCGGCAAGTAGGTGGGCTTGAAGCTGGCGAAATCGGCTAAAAGCACCCAGTTCCAGCTGGTCACCATGACGTTCTCAGTCTTGATGTCGCCATGCCTCACGCCTGATTTGTGGGCCTGGTCCACAGCATTCAGGATCTGGAAGGCAATCCACTTCTTCTCAATGTTGTTGAGGAAGGGTCGGGTGCTGATGCGATCATACAGGTTGTCCCGCACATACTGTCGAAACAGGATGGCCGCCTTCTCTGTGAGAGTGGCCTTTTGGAATGGCAAGCAGTTCTGGCATGAGTGCAGCCTGATCTTCAGCTCCTCCAGCTCCTGTTTGTAGCTGGTTAGGGGCAAGGAAGGATCCTGGATGGCAAACACCTTCACCACCACCAGCCCCTCTCGGTGCTTTGCCCGGGCCACTTTGAAGAACCTGGTGCTGCCCAGACTCTTGTCGTACTCATAGTCATGGATGTCTGAGAAATAACTGTCCACCGACAGAATCTGAGATGGAGCGATACCAGCAAGTTGATTCCCCATTGCACAACCTCAAAGTAGCAAGTACTGAGTGCGGATCCTGTCCGGAAATAAAAATAAATAAATAAATTTATTTAAAAATGTATTTTAACAATCAGAAATCACCCAGAAAAACTTTCCGCCTAAGAAACACATTATGAGCAACATCTACCCATTACTTACAATATGCCGGCGAACTAGATGAAGTTTTAAAATACTAAGGAAGCGGGCAAAACCATGGATGCCTCAAATACTGGCGGAAGTAAACTGGCTAATTTAAGTACGCCGTCATCCCAACATAACAAATAACATCGAGAACGCCTCCTGTGAACAGAATGCTGTGTTTACATGGGGTTTATGAGTACTTGTGCGATAGATAAATAAGAATTATTTCTTGTTGGGTGATTATGAACATAAACAAACATTAATGACATTTAAATATATGCATAGGTAAAGCTCAGTAGTTGCTTACTAGAAAAAGAATCAGAAATGTAGCGTGCACTTTAAAATAAAGATCATTAACAGCAACGGACACGTGATGCGAAGCGCAAATCGGCGCAAGTTATTGTTTACCTGGCTTGGGTTTCAGCTCACTCGGCCAGGCTAACTAGTTAGCAGGCATTTCTGTTATCCACCCATAAGATCCCCCTCCCTCGGTAGATTAGGCACGCATGTCATATGCTTAACGTGATCTGCCCGTTCATACAGGACCCGTGAAAAAGAAGAACGGCGCGGATCCGTCCGTATTAAAAACGCAGCAGCGCGAACGTTTCCGGGCAGCGGTGAAATGCATCAGAATACTGCCAGCCCCCTTTCCCGGCTCCCAGTCCGCTGGGCTCGATCAGATGACAGGCTCGGCTGACTTCCTCCAGCTGACCGTCTGAATCCGGGTTAATAGTGGGACGGCGCATATGCAAGTAGGAAGTGTGCGCGGAATGCTGCGGCGGATGCGGGGTTCACCTGATACCAGTGGAGTCTTGTTTAACAAAAACGTAGGGAAACACAGATTTTTTTATTTATATGTTTACCGTCCATTTATGCAGTACAGGATCGCGGTGAGCCTGAGCCGGAACTTATCCCGAGAGGTCCAGCGCACAGAGCAGGGATCGGCCTAGACAGGATACCAGTGTATCGCAGGACACACGCGTACATGTACACAAACATACAGAGCAGAACCAAATATACTTAAAGAAAATTAAACACAAACACAGGCGGGTAGCGAAATCAGTACCATTTTAATATGAACAGTGATGTATTTTAAATAGATTTTTATTCAAAATAGTTTGGTGGTTTTATATTCTTAGCCTTTAGAATACCTTGTGACGTGTTTCTTTTTTTAAATTCGTGCCAAAATGGTTTTTTTTTCTCATTTCACTCTTTGTAAAGCTATGATGATTGCTACAGAGGTGCCGGGTAAATGGCTGCTCCAGCGCAATGACTGCGAGCTTTGGAGTGCAAGAAGACGTGTAGGGAAATCGATTAATTCCTGTATAAGTAATTGATTTGTACTTGAACAAATGACAAATAACGTATCATGAACTAGATTGAATGGACTGGAGAAAAGTGCGCGCTTCTCATTTTGTCCACCGGGTAGCGCCGGCGCCGTGTGCGTTAGCCGCTGGTCTCGGGTCAGTGAGGAGAGCAAGAGAACGAGAAATAATCAACGGTAGATGCATGTAGCCACACAATACTACAGGATATCCTGGGTTTTTAGAGATAGTGCTGTTATTTAAGCGTGTGATAACTATCTCAGGTCTTTTGTACATGAGGTCTAAGAAGGAGCTTATCAAAGCAGTTCAGGAGTTGGTGTCTGTCTGTTATGTAACTGGATAACTGAAGTCGCCATTGACGAGTGCGCCATTTGAAGTTAAATAATCTCAAAGAAGACGCCAATGTTGAAAACGGCATCTGTAGAAGACCTGGGTGAAGCAGGATTGTATATGCTTAGAAATCGTTATGAAACCTTGGCCGTGTTCCTTGGATGTCTGTGTTGATTCACTGATTTATCAAATCGGCAGTGGTAGTACAGGTTTTAGCGTTATAGGTCAGTGGCTTGCTGTATGTGAGTTGTGGTTCAGAATTAGATAAAAAGAAAATTGAATAATACAAGAGACGCATGTAATTTAACATGAGGTTTCTTCTGTTATGGGAGGTGGACCTGTTCACTCCCATACTACTACCAATTGATACTGTGTTTAATTTTATTACGTATTAAGGCAGATAAGTTAATGTGGGAAAAAAAAAACTACAGTAGAATTAATACAAAAAAAGATGACAGCCGAGATGTAGCGAAGCTTCACGGCCCATTGGGGGGTGGGGACTGTTGTAAACTGTCAGTCACTTATCTAGCGTAACCCAGTGGGGAGACTTGCGGAAGTAACCAATAGGAGGTGGCTTAGGCCGTTTGGGGCTTGTAGTCCCGCCCATTGAGGGCGTGGACACTAGCCTGGTGACGTGCGACTGTTTTGGACGGTTCGCTAGTTCCTCCCTCTCCCCTGTGCGCCCTCAGCGCGTTGACCTCACCCGGCAACCGTCAGTCTGTGCGTCGCAGCTTCGCGGAAGATGCTGGAAAAAAGGGAACCGCTGGTAAGTTTTGGTTACAATGAACTTCCCACTTCAGTTAAGTCCCATATTTCTCTCTAGCCAGCGAGACAGCTTCTCTTTTATCGGCGTTTCCGAGTTGCAGCTGTCACGGGGCTGCATGACGAGGAGGGTAAAACAAAAATACACACTGGCAGCCACAGCATGTGTCTTAATTTCATTCCACCGGAGGAAAAGGTTTTTGTAGCTGCATGCCAGGCCCGTTATAGTTGAGAAGCACTGAAGATTTCAGAAACCGTAGAGATGTCATTTTGAGAAGTCTCGCGGCGAGAGCGCATTAAGAGCCCCAGTGACTGCGAACCAGCGCGTTACGACTGGGGTGTCCGTTTGTAGTTGCTCAGCGTTAGCATGCTAATGTTGTTAGCTGTGCTGCACTGGGACCCTTGCCGACTATATCGACACATGCATGAAACCCTGCCCAAAGGCAGGTTAATGAATTTGTGTTTTACGTACACTCCTGATCTTAGCTATTTTTTGGACTTCGGGTATTACGGCCGCGCGGAATGGCCAATTAATCCATCACCCAAAATGTAACTTAAAACCCAAGGGCAAAACTGTAATGCCCCCTGCGCCGCTTGACATACTCTCGGCGTCTGTGTCTAGTTGGAATTAAGTTGTCCGTTATTAGTTATCCCAGAGGAAAATATTTACTGGGAGTGTGGGGTTGTGAAACATCAAGTTCAATGGTTGTTTGACCGATCGGGAATATTTAGTAAGATATGGTGCAAGTTCATCAGGGCGAAAAATGGTCTGCAGTGTTGGTTTTTTTGGGGGGGGGGTGCGCGCAATAGAAAGGAGTTGGGAGTAGGACATAAATTTTAACATCACAACAGTGTTACGATCATGACAGCTGAGAAACTATAAGATTGCAAACATTACAACAGTGTTACGATCATGACAGCTGAGAAACTATAAGATTGCAAACATTACGACAGTGTTACGATCATGACAGCTGAGAAAATGTAAGATTGCAAGTCTGTCTGTCTGGAGGATATCAGCCTGGAAGGTTGGTCTGACGTCTTGATGTGGCGCACCCTTCACCTTGTTGAAATAATTCCTGTGGGAAAAGTAGACTGGAATACATATCTGCACATGCCCTGGTGGAATTCACCAGAGTAGGTATACTGTTTTCTGGGGGGAAAAACTAGCAACTGCATTTTAAATAATCATAGGCACAATTACTTTAATTACAACTTATTTTTAACCATCCTAAAAGGGTGTTGAGTTTTTAAAATAAGTGATAATACTTTATTTTCGTTTTTTCAACGAAAACAGATAGGTCTTGTATGATATGAGGGCATTTGTGCATTGGATTTCATAGTTGATTTTGTTTATATAGTTCATTTAACGCAGTGTTTTTTGCAAGTGTGAAAATTCCAGTTACTGACCAGCACTTTTTAAAATTGTAAAATGGTGATGGGTCTTTGTTCAACGTTGAAACATTAACACTTGTAGTATTTGCTAGCTTTGAGGGCTGGGGAGCAGTGACTTAAATTTCAATCCATCTTGTACAGTAACATTTGTTACTAATATTTTCATTTCCTGTGTTGGAGTAGTCATTTTCAGAAATATGTGGAAGCAAGACTCAAACTGATCTCTGATAAGCTTGTTAGATTCATAGCTTTCGTTCCTGCTGTGGTAATTGAATAGGGCCATAATCACACTGAATCTGATTGCACTGTAATAGTAAATATGGCTTTCTCTTGTATCTATGACAACAACAGCAGCAAGGCCCCTTGTACTCCCTTATTGGCTGCTTCTAATTACAAGTTTCCATGCCTTGGGTTTAAAGCTTGGCCTGAGGGTCACATTAACTTGGACTTGTGAGCTGGTTGTGTTGCCCTAAGATCTGGTGTTTTTTTTGTTTGTTTGTTTTTTAGTTTTTGCAGCAGCTTAGATGAGACATGCTTGGGAGAGAGCTCAATGTCCCACTCCATTTTTAAAGCGTGATGTTCCAATCTCAGTCCTGTGGGGGGGCGGGAGGCTATGATTACTCCCAACGCTGCAAAAGTCTGATCTGTTCTGGTGCACCAGTATAATCTGTCGCTTTTTAATTAGCGTGTTGTTTTGGGTCAGATATGATGTTATTGACCAGTCCTCCCTGACCACAGTTTTAGCCGGAGAGGCTGGCTGTACAGGCCCTATTGATGCGAAATTTAGCAGCCAGACAGTGGGTCATTTTTAACCATAAATCACTTTACCTCTGTCTATTTGAATATGTATTTGTGAGCAGAGGAGCACATTTTACTAGGATCTTGGCTGTGGGCAACAGAGACATTCTACTCATGTAGTACTTCCATGCATCCCCACGTTGTTTTAGAAATGTAATGTGGACCACTTCCCGTGGTCTGATTGGTCTAAAGTGCCACCTAAAGTGATCTTAGAAAGCTTGTTTCTTCTATGGTTTTTATCAGTTCAAACAAATGCACAAAAGCAGCACATCAAATTCAGGAAGATGAGCTAATCCAAAGAGATTAGATTTGTTCAGTATTTTAATTTTACTTAGTTTAGTTTTATCTGATGGCAGCTGCTCCCTTTAGGTAAATAGGGTTTTTTTTCTGTCCTTCTCCGTTGCGCAATGCAAAGGAGAGAAATGCAGGCAGAGATTGGTGGTAATGAGTTGCTATGGCCAACTATTTAGATACAGTTTCTTAGACTCTACATCTACATGACAGATCAGCAGGCGTCCCAGCATATGATCTGTACTTTTTAACAGAGCTCTGAATGAATTTAAGCAGTTCTCTGGTTTAATTATAACCTGTTCAGTGCATTGTCAACCTAATGGATATGGAGGGGGGAGACCAACAAAGCAAGGGCTTGGTAAGTGATATTTGTAGCAGGAGTTGGCTCCAAATTTCGATTCATTGTATTTTGTATCTTAGCATTCCACTGTTGGCTCTTCTGTTATGTTTAAGCTGTGCTGGGCTCACAAAATTGCACTGTGAGTTTTTGGCTTTAAGAACAAAGCCAAGAGTGGTGTTCTTTTTGAACAAACACAAAGCCTGTTATTCCGAGTAGTCAAATAGCATGATATTTTTGAGAGCTGGGCCTCCTGATTTTTAAAGGGCTGAAACAGAAAAGTGCTAACACACATGGATTAGCGGTTTACTATGACCTGTATATGAATGGCCATTGCCAGTTTCACACAGGTCAGTGTTTAACCTTGCTGTCGTGTTCGGGTCGGCACCGGCCCGTTTGTAAGTTTACAATGCATAAAAGCACCACATAAATTTGTGTACTGCATCAAGGCTTTTTGACTTTGTCAGGAACCTCTATTTAAACAAAATAAAACTAAATCAAGGCAAGGCATGCTCATACATGTAAGGCAAGATAAGACCAATTCGGTTTATTTATATCATTCTCGAGGTTTATTTTACCATTATTTTTTTTTTTGAAAACGAGACGTATGCTGTCAAGAGGTCCAGAAAGCCACACCAAAAATATTAAAACCAATCTTTTCATGGATAAGGAAACCTAACAAGGTAACCAAAAGGTAAGAAACAAATTGGTTGATAAATAATTGTTTTGAGGGTATTTTGGCACTGACCCGTATAACACAAGAGATAGGAACAGAAAGCGAACATAGGACAAAGGTTAATGTATAGCTCATTATCTTTTAGTAGGAACCATTTTGTAGAGAACAGTTTGGTTAATGACGTCCTTTAAATTGGCTGCTTCTGTTCATGCTCCTTCAGATGGGCAACTAAAATAAAATATAGGTGCTGCATAAACTTCAACTGCTTCAGCTAATTTAAATTATGTTTTCTTCAATGGGTTTTATTTGGTGGGCAGTCGTCTGCACCAGGTGTGGAGGTCAGAGCTCAGTGGTTATTAAGCTGGCAAAGATTAATGCTGATGGGTAAATGATCATTTCCAGTGAATAGGATATATATATTTTTAAGCTTGGTTTTTTTAATGAAAGACTGTATATCTTAATGACTTTAAAATAATTGAAGGAAACACACTCAGGTGAACCATTTATGGTTATGGAATATTTCGAACAACTGAAACCAATGCACGCTTGAAATGAAAAGTGCCACATTTTAGTTTTATTGTAAAAAGCAAGTTCCCTAAAAAAAAGTAGAAAATAAATAGTTTGCATTTCTTGCAAATTAAATTACAGTGGAATCTATAGTACTCTGTGTGTAATTGATCACTCTAAGCGGATGATGCTTATCTTCATTATGTCTCAGTCAGTTTACCATCTAATTGACCTTTGTATATTTATTACATGCATATAATGTAATAAAACCCAGACAGACATGATCACTATAAGCAATCTCCACTCTATATATAGGCTAAGCGTACTGAATTCTTATATGCAGTGGTGCTTGAAAGTTTGTGAACCCTTTAGAATTGTCTTCATTTCATCATAAATATGACCTGAAACATCATCTGATTTTCACACAAGTCCTCAAAGTAGATAAAGAGAACCCAGTTAAATAAATGAGACAAAAATATTTCACTCGGTCAATTATTTATTGAGGGAAATGATCCAATAATACATATCTGTCAGTGGCAAAAGTATGTGAACCTCTAGGATTAGCAGGTAATTTGAAGGTGAAATTAGTCCGGTGTCTTCAGTCAATGGGATGGCAGTCAGGTGTGTATGGGGACCCCGTGTTGTTTAAAGAACACGGATCTATCAGTGTTAACACGTTTGTGGAAGTGTATCATGGCACGAACAAAGGAGATTACTGAGGACCTCAGAAAAAGTATTGTTGATGCTCATCAGGATGGAAAAGGTTACAAAACCATCTCTAAAGAGTTCGGACTCCATCAATCCACAGTAAGACAGATTGTGTACAAATGGAGGGAGTTTAAGGGCATTGTTACCCTCCACAGGAGTGGCTGACCAACTAAGATCGCTCCAAGAGCAAGGCGTGTAATAGTCAGCCAGGTCACAAAGGACCCCAGGGTGGCTGCTAAGCAACTGAAGGCCTCTCTTGCACTGGCTAATGTGAGTCCACCATCAGGAGGACACT